GAACAAATTCAGAAAGTAGAGGTGGAAAGAACCTGGGTCTTGGAAGAGGAACCAACTAGAGCGTTGGCAAGGGCACCGAGAGGGTTAGAAGAAGAAGAAGAACCAGGAACGGCACAAGCAGCGCCTCCAGTAACCAGCTCGCGCATCGCCATGTCTTCTGTCTTTCGGCCTCGGGACAGTCAATTTTCTTCCTCTCGATTCGCGTTCCTCCTGTGAATTGTTTCAATCCATCTTGTTTCCCAAGAACTTCAATTGATTACGTAATATGATTGATTTGGATAGCCTTTTTCGTAGAAGATGTGAAATTGGTAGGAAAAACGATAACGGAATGGGCCTATGGGTGTTGTATTCAAGTGCCCTGAGCCACAATTGCGAACTTTCCCACGGAGCAGGCAGAGTCCACGAAATTAAATAGAAACGATGATCATCTTTCACCGCCGTACTTAAACAATAGATATACTAGTTACAAATACACAAATAAATAAATAAATAAATTTTATTAAATAATAAATCTAACCTAATTTAACCATAATTTTCTCTTCCGTTGTATTGTATTGGTTCAATTTTTTATTTTTATTATTTTCTAACACTTATGTAACTCAATTTGAATATATATTTAAATAATTACGTTCCAAAAAGTTAAAAGTTATTTAATAGTTTTTGGAGAATAAATAATCAGAAAATAAAATTAAGGAAATATATGTATATATAATTATATCGTAACAAAAACAATTGGTTAGCAATATATTCGGGTTGATCAGACTCAATCTAGTTTTTGGAAAACTCATGAACCAATTCAATTCATAAAATGTTTGTTTATTTGAATCTAATCCAACGAACAGTAAAAATGGATTGGATTCATCAAGTTTTTTGGTCATCGAATTTTTGTTGCATTAAAATTAACTTAAAATGGGAATATTTTATAGCAACTTAGGGCTATAAATGTACCAATCATGGATGGTTACTTTCATTCAGAGGCTGTAGATCAAAGAAAAAAAAAAATCAGAACTATCGAAATTGGATTTGAAACCAAATTAAAAGAGATTCAATGCCCAAAATATCAAACACCTATGTGTATCATTGTTGTGTGAGCTCTATTGTAATGGTTGGACATGCATGTATTATGGCGACTACCCATCTTTTGTTACGAGAATGTGCCTTAAGAGTGGCTTGGCTCATTGCTCGTGTTAATTTCTATCGATTAGAGTAAAACCCACCAATATTCTCACATATGTACCTTAGAGAATTAGGAGTTTTAGTATTTTTTTTAATGACAGGTGGCCCGATTTTTCTAGCTAGGTGTCAATTCTTATCTGTTAGAATAGAACTCACCTATGTACCACTAAGAATTGAAACATTCCGTTAACGAAGCTACTAATATATCTTTGAAAAAGCATATTTAGGTATTTTAGTTGTAGTTTATGATATTTCACCCTCAATAGAGTTATTTACTAAATTAAATTGTAAAAGTGGGTGACAAAATTGACTATTTGTGAGCTTTATTTTTACAAGCCAGGTTAGGTTACTGTTCTATTTTATTTTTTTATTATTTTAACGAAAACATTATAATTAAAAAAACACGACCATCATCTCCAATAGCAGCTAGCAGTTCTTCCTCATCATGACAACTGCACAACTTTTCTTACTTGAAAAATATTTGTGAAAGACCGAGTATTGAAAATACTTAGTTTATAACCCCACTTATGGGCTAGATATTTATACCTACATAACAAAAATATCGCAAAATCAAAGGGCTTAAAACACAGCTTGAAATTGGGTAGCTTCCATACACACATATGAGTAGTTGCGACAAGTCGAGATCACAAAACATTGATATAATTTTCAAGCCACATAAAAGTAATTACCACAAAGACATGTCACGAAAAATGATACAATTCTCATACACACAGATAAATAATTGCCTCCAAGATTATTACACAGTCAAAAATTTACGTGCACGTAAATATGTAATTGTCTTGCACACTGATAGATAATCATCTTAATATCATTTTCAAGTATACACGAACAGAAAAATTACATCCACGATTTGAAAATTTTAAAACATATCCGCACATAACATTGAAAATAAATATATAGTTTTTATATTAAGATATTAATTTAAACTTGAAAGCAAGAGTTAATACTAAATAATTAAATAATTAATTAGATATAAAGAAGAAAGCGATGTTATTAGATTATTTAATATCAACAAATAAATTAAAAATTAATAGCATTAAATATCTCCACAAAAAAGTTAATATTATTGATATATAATCATATTAATCAATATAAATATCTTTTATGTTAATATTTGAATTAATTTCGGGCGCTATTGAATTATAAATTTGATTTCTACTATTTCAGGTTAATTTTTGTTTTATCATTTTAATTCTATATTTAGAAGTTCTATTAGTTTATTGGCACATAAATAAAATTAAAAATAAAGTTGATTAAAAAATTGGTCCCTATCATTAAAAAAATTAAAATTAAAATTTAGTTTTTATAATTTTAAATATTATAATTAATTTCTATAAAAAAAAAATTAAAAATAGGAAGGTTTTATGCCAGTTGAATTATGCACATGTTAACAAATTTAAATTTAAAGTGGTTCATATGACTTGATATTACAGACAATCTCGAAATATCTAACCTAAACCATAAACATTGGGTTGGGTTGAATTTTTTAAAAACTAAAAAATTTGGTTCGGTTTGTGGTTTGACATTTTTTTTTGTTGGGTCAATCCAACGCTACACTAATTTTAAAAAATAAAGAATATTAACGTTTGTAACCGAAGTTAATGATGAATTGTTACTAATAAATGTTTGACATTTGAATTTTATGAGGTTTTAGTTATTAATATAATATCTATTATGAATATAAATTTTATTTAAATAATTAAAAAAATAACCCACACCCCAACTTGGATCTTAATTATTAATGTAACATATATTGTGAAAATGATTTTTTAAAATAATTAAAAAAAAATAATCGAACAATCCACGAGCTATGCTTTTATTAAGATTATTGATTTTATTATTAATAGTGTTTATAATAGATTGTTAAATTTCGGATGCATTTTATACCATTTAAAATTAATAAATTTAATTAGATTATAAAGGAATAATATTTTTAATTAATGAAACCCTAAAATAGTTTCAATTTTATATACCACAAATATTCGGTTGAATCTATTAGACATAAATTTTAAAGTTTAAAAATTATAATGGTAATTTAACATATTAAATAATAATTATTAAAATGATGATATGAGACACGATCTTAAACCTAAGTAAGTTATGAACTTCTATATGGAAGAGTTTATCCTTTAAATTGCCTCGATTGAGAATAACTTTTGAAACCAATTCAATATAACTCTAGTTTATCCTTAACAAATAGTTCTGTGAGTCTTGATTTCGATACTTAAATAAGGGGCCCACTTTCTCACGGCCAAGAGAAAAACTTAATTTATGGTTGAATCATAAACAAATTATTCATTAAAGAATAAGTCGTGTTTGATAATATTTGCTAAAACCACACACGTAAATGGTAGCGAAATTTCTCTATTTATAACCGTGTAGAGAATCAAATAAATTACAAAAGAGATGGAAGAGCAATAAATGGATAATTATATTTAACTAGTCAAATATGATACATATGATAAACTATAATTCATGACTAAATATCTTTAACATCCTTGCATGCTGAGGGTCGGATTTGACGAACGTGAAGCTTTGATCAGAAAAATTCAAAGAGAGGTAGAGAAATACTTTTTGTGAAGATGTCAGCAACTTGGTTCGGAAGAGATGTTTGGTTGGACACCATAGTATTTTCTTGGTCATCGAAAACTGCAAAAGGATCGGCAACGACAATAATCTAGGATCAGAGAAAGGTGAACCATCAGCAATCTGGCGTTGAGAAGCAATCATGAGTGTGAACGGTAACGATACAAGATAGAGGCTTTAGAATTAGGACAATGACTATTTTGAGAAAAGGGCTAGAGACATAGAGAGATGGTTTGATGGTGACTGAAAAGAGAGGAAGAAGATGACAGAAACTAAACTGAGAAAGAGGACTTTGAGGTGTATTTTAGATGAAGAAGAAAGATGGAGTGGGCTCCTTGCGGACTGGATTGCTATCGAGCAAATGAACACGAGTAAGAGTATTTCGAGCATATTTGGTAACTAGAGTTTGCGTTTGTGACTCGGAAGGAGTAGAAAGCAGAACCGATAGAGAAATAGTTGGCGCCATAGTAGGTGGTGGAGTTCCAATGGACGGAGAGGGAGCCACGCCCCCCAAAGCAAGAGATGAAGATAGTGTTGAAGTCGAAAGAGTCGCCACAGTGCGTGAAGGAGCCGATTTTGGCAAGGAGGTCGGCGACAACTTGGTTGGTAAAGAGGCCAGTGCGGCACCCAGGGCTTGGCTCAAAGAGTCAGTGATTAAAGCGACAAGGACGACGACGACAAAGGTAGAAGAGGAAGCCATAGCCGTGAAGAATGCAAAGAGAAGAGAAGAAGACGAAAATGGAAGATGGAAGGGAAGTTTTCTGGTTCTGGTTCAAGGCATTGTCTTGGAGAAGGTGAGGTTGTATGTACAAAGTACGACGAAAGGTCCGCTTGCGAAGGATGATTTGAAGACAAAAAAGGTGGAGCTGAAGAGTAATCAATCGACTCTGCTTGAGCCAACCATGACGATTGCCTCTGCGGCGTCAAAGCCAACATTAATGACAGAGAAGATGAGAAGAGGATTTAGTGTAATTTTAAATAAATTAGAAGAGATAATAGAAAGAGAAATAAATGAAAAAGCAATAAATGTATATTGAATGGTAATAGAAAACAAATATCTAGATATTTGATAGTCAAATATGATATATATGTTAAATTATAATTTAGGACTAAATATATTTAAGGTAAGATGTAATTATTAAAAGTAAAAAGAAATTAGTATGATATTGAAAAACATTAAAATCTTAACGATTTGCAACGTCCAACAGTGAGGCTATAAGAGATGATAAGAGCACATCCAAGCACCACTTGCCCACAATACTTCCATTTCAGTTTGCAGCAACCAAAATGTGGGTTCTTTTGATGGGAGCTATTGTCGTTTTGAGCTTTACACACTGCCTTTATCGTTGGAGAAACCCCAAATGTAATGGAAAACTCCCACCAGGTTCAATGGGGTTCCCTCTGCTTGGTGAAACCTTGCAGTTCTTCGCTCCCAATACCTCCTCTGATGTTCCTCCTTTCATAAGAAACAGAGTGGATAGGTACGGACCAATCTTCAGAACAAGTTTGGTGGGAAGACCTCTGATTGTCTCAACAGACCCCGACTTCAATCACTTCATCTTTCAACAAGAGGGTTACTTGTTCCAGAGCTGGTATCCATCTACCTTCACCGAGATATTTGGAAGGCAAAATGTTGGTTCATTGCACGGTTTCATGTATAAGTTTCTGAAGAACATGGTTCTTCATCTTGTTGGCCCTGAAAATCTGAGGAAGATGATATCTGAAGTGGAGGCTGTAGCTACCACAAGATTGAGACAATGGTCATGTCTTGAATCGGTTGAATTGAAGGATGAGACTGCAAGTGTAATTACAAAATGAGAAGTTTAGAACAAAACCTGTTCCTTCTCCATGTTTGTTTGATACTGATTTTTGTTGTTCTTGCAGATGATTTTTGATCTGACTGCAAAGAAGCTGATTAGTTATGATTCAGAAAATTCTGGAGAGAATTTGAGAGAGAACTTTGTTGCATTCATACAGGGCTTGATTTCCTTCCCTCTAAATGTTTTTGGAACAGCTTATAACAAATGTTTACAGGTAAACCAATTATACTACCGCCATTCTAACTATAAGGTCGAGTTGGTTGGAGAGAGGAACAAACCTCTCCCTAGTAGACGCGTTTTAAAACTGTGAGGCTGACGACGATACGTAACAAGCTAAAGCAGACAATATCTGTTAGCGGTGGATTAGGCTGTTACAAATGGTATTAGAGCCAAATATCAGACGGTGTGCCAGCAAAAACGTTGGACCCAAGAGGGGTGGATTGTGAGGTCTCACATCAGTTGGAGAGATGAACAAACCTCTCCCTAGTAGACGAATTTTAAAACCGTGAGGTTGATGACGATACGTAACGAGTCAAACTAGAAAATATCTGCTAGTGGTATACTTAGGCACCTATAGGAACTTGGGAACTGAGGGTGTCCTTCCCTAATTCAACAGGGCAGGAAAAGAGCGATGAGGATGCTGAAAAACATGCTACAAGAAAGGCGTGCAAATCCAAGGAAAGAGCACATGGATTTTTTTGATTTTGTTCTTGAAGAACTGGCAAAGGATGGAACTCTTCTCACAGAGGAAATTGCTCTGGACCTCATGTTTGTGCTGCTTTTTTCGAGCTTCGAAACTACTTCAATTGCTATCACTGCCGCCATTAAATTCCTCCTCAACAATCCTCATGTGCTGGAGGAGCTGACGGTCTGTTTAATGTTGTTTCAACTTTTAACAACAATATCCTCATGTTGAATCCATTATTTGCATCTTTATCAGTGTGAACATGAGGGAATATTGAAGGCAAGGGAGAATCCAGATTGTGGGCTTACATGGGGAGAATACAAATCCATGACATTCACATTTCAGGTTACTTTACTTATTTTATCTCTGTAAGCCCTCTTTGTTTCTCATAATCAAACTTCTTCAATTGGTCAGTTCATCAATGAAACTGTGAGACTGGCAAATATAGTTCCGGGAATCTTTCGAAAAGCACTGAGAGACATCCAGTTTAAGGGTATGTATGTACGTATGTAAATTGAGCTCATAGATTCTTTTTCTTCATAACATCATCACAAATGGCGGCTACACATTTGTTGGAGCAGGATATACCATTCCAGCTGGGTGGTCAGTTATGGTCTGCCCTCCTGCCGTGCACTTGAATCCTGAAAAATATGTTGATCCTCTCGCTTTTAATCCGTGGCGGTGGGAGGTATGTGGTGAAATCCCATTATTGATTGAAGAGGGGAACGAAACATTCTTTTAAGAGTGTAGAAACTTCTATTTAGCAGATAATATCTGTTAGCGGTGAACTTAAGCGGATTTGATATGGTTTGCAGAAATGTGAATTGAATGGAGCATCTAAACATTTCATGGCATTTGGTGGGGGCATGAGGTTCTGTGTTGGTACAGATTTTACCAAACTTCAAATGGCTGTGTTTCTCCACTGCCTGGTTACAAAGTACAGGTAAGTTGCAAGAATGAGATGATTACACAGAGAGGCAAACTTTCTCTATATCTAAATCTCGTGTTCGACAATCATTTAGTTCTCGATTCGTAGATTCTTTCTTGGTTCTATCTATAAGTGTTTTGTTTTGTTACGTACCATTTACAAATGTTTTCAAAATTCAAGACAAGTTGTGAAAACTAATAGATCGAGAGAGAAACTAACGTTGGTACGTTTGGGAGTATCAGGTTCAAAGCAATCAAGGGAGGCAATATCGTCCGAACGCCTGGTTTACAGTTTCCCGACGGCTTACACGTTCAAATCGTGGAGAAGTGACCAAAAAAAAAAAAAAAACCTTGAAGAAGAAGATGAACAGAAGTAGCAAACAAAGGATAATTGTGAAGAAAAAATGTCCAAACCAAATAAGCTGCATAATATATAGTGGTTCCTAAGACAAATTACCAATCAATAATCAACAACATTAATATTTAGTGTTACCTTTCATTTTCTTCTTATTTTTTGTTTGGATTTGATAGTACTTACCCAAACTCTTCCTAGTTCATTATTGGCATGTAACTAGATAGCGTGCTAGTGAGGACGTTGGGCTCCAAATGAGATGGATTGTGAGATCCCACATCGGTTGGAAAAGGAAACGAGACATACCTTATAAAAGTGTGAAAACATCTCCCTAACAGACACGTTTTAAGATCGTAAAGCTAACAACGATACGTAACGAGTTAAAGAGGATAATATTTGATAGTGGGTTATTATCGAAACCAATGTGACATTATCAATTCATTAACAATTCCACAAAATTAAAATTACAATTGAATGGGCACATAATAATATGAGTACATAAAGAAAATTACTCGGAAATGAAACAAAGACTTGTACCGGAAGACTGTGCCAAATAAAGAGTGAAGTTTCAAAGATGAACAATCTTGGAGAAATATAATAATAATCCTCCCCAATATAATTTTTGGTGTCTTGCATTATAGAATATATGCTGTAACAATGGTGGAAAGAAGATAAGTTTGAGAGTGACGTAAGGTTGCACTCGAGTCTAGTGTCAGTCATGGTTGTCCAAGATATGTTGTCTATGGCCGCATGATGGATGTCTCGATCATGCTTGTCCAGGACGTGTTATCTATGGCCGTCTATGGCTGCATGCCCGTTCCAAATTTCATATTTGATAGGCTTTTACTATTATTGTTGTGTCAACATGGGGGTGTACGACCTTTCACCAAAATGACGTCTATACTCACTAAGGCTAAAATGCCCCAAAATATACTATGGAAAGATATGAATAGTTGTCATTTCTACTCGAGTTACATGCTATCAAAGTCGTTGTTACGTAATTGCTTTTAGCTTATAACATTACAAAATTGTAAGCAGCCGACAAAGTCATTATAAGAAAAGAAAAAAATCTCATTCAAACTTGTTGGAATCAATTCTATTGAATGTTGTGGCATCCCCTTATAACCAAATTGGGCTCTCCTGAACTCACTGAGTTTCAATTGCTTTGGGGGCGTGGATGATGAGCTTAACAAACTCAAACATACCATTTCGGCCATGGAAGCTGCGCTTCTTGATGCAGAGGAGCAACAGTTCAAGAGCCATGAAATGAAGAATTGGATTTCAAAGGTCAAGGATGTTTTGTACGATGTCGATGACTTGATGAGCTTATCGGTCTTCCAACAATGGATCTTTTTGTATTAAACAAAGACGTTGGTTGTGATTTAAGCGAGTTGAATAGACAGAGCAAGTTCACGGGATTATTATATTGCTCCATGTTCATTTATCAAAGTTCACTCTTAATTTGGCATAGTCTGAAACAAATCCAAGTAATTTTCTTCATGTAATATTATCATTTTTAGTTTGTTATGGATCGTTATTAGCTTCACAATTTAAAATGTATATGCTAGAGATAAGTTTTTCACGCTTTTATAAGGTATAATTCGTTCTCTTCACCAATCGATGTGGAATCTCGCAATCCAAGCTTGGCTAAGTACATGAGAACGGTGTCCCATGTCATTAACAGACTTCGCCAACATAGGCTCGGGTTCATCTCATGGAAAGTGGTTGAACATGAAGCACAGCCATTTGAAGTCTGGTAAAATCTGTACCAACATAGAACCTCATGCCCCCCATCAAAACTCATGCGTCCAAGCACACCGTTATCAGTATTATTCACTTTGGCTCTTTATGTGTTGTTGTCAGCCTCACGGTTCTAAAACGCGTTTACTAGAAAAAGATTTTCACATTCTTATAACAAATGTTTCATTCTCTTCTCCAATCGATGGGGATCTCACAATCCTCCTTCTTTGGGGTTCCAGCGTCTTTGTTGGCACACCGCTCCGTGTCTGGCTCTGATACCATTTGTAACCGTCTAAGCCTAATACTAGCAGATATTATTTGCTTTGGCCCCGCCGTCAGCCTCATGGTCTTAAAACGCGTCTGCTATCGAGAAATTTACACATTCTTGCAAGGAATGTTTTATTTCTCTCTCAAACCAATATAAGATCTCAAGAGTAACCAACTCTCTGACAACCCAAAAGGAGTAACAAGCTCTCACACAACCTAAAAAAGGAAATAGATATATTTCACTACATACCTCCCATCCCCATGGAAGGGAGGGGTTTCGCCCCAATAAGGGGGACTATCATGGGCCTAGGAGATACTCGGCACACCCCTTGGTAAGATACCATAAAGTAAGTAGGTGTTTGACTGAGTATAATTTTTTATACTCATCCCAGTTTTCCTTTTTTTCAGGTGTTTGCAGGCTGCCGATTGAGATTGAGGAGCGTTCTAGCGTTTTGCTGTCACAAAAGGAGTCGTCACCGAGCATCAGTCCGTTTTCAATCTTTTTTTAGTCTGGTATTTCCTTTTACATTTTTACCCCTATAATTACATTGTTGTACCACTGATTCTCGAACAATTTATTTATGATTCAATCATAAACCAAGTCCCTTTCGAGCCAATGAGAGGGTGGGGCCCATTGTTCAAGTCTCGAAATCAGTATTTAAAAGAACAACTCATCTACTTTCCTTATATGGAAAGGAGTAAATTTCATCTCATGAGATTATGTTCCCAACTCTCTATTTGGTCAGTCCCCAAAATGGTAGGCATTTTGAATCGGCTAAAAGAGTCATTCTCACCATGTAAATTAAAGGACAAGCTCTCACAAGCATGAGTTCATAACTCACTCAGGATTAAGATCTGAGTCGCATATGATCATCGTGAAATATTAATCTTCTCATTAACAGATTTATAAGAGAAATTAAATACTTCTTGGTCTAGTCTTATATATACAAACTCATTGTATAGGATATCCCCACTTACATGTCTACACATGAACGATTTGGATCAAATCATTGATAACAATTACAAAGTGGGTCGTATAAATAGTATTACCACGATAAGGCACCCAACCTTATTCATATACTATAAACTCTTTAAGTTATTACTTAACACGATCCTCTTGTATGTCAACCACATACTATTCAAGATTACATTAATAACCTTGAATTTTCATACCATGGATAACAATTAAATTACAAATAAAATAATAAAAATTATTGTTAAAAACTAAATAATTAATTACAAAGCTTTAGAGCATAAATCCCAACAAAAGTTACCTAGTTTTCTTGAAACATTACCTTCTTCGGGCTCGAATGGAACTCGATCTTTCAATGACTATCTCTCTCACGTTCTTTACAAGAATGGCTCAATATGTTTCCCTAAAGCTGCACAAATAATTTTTAAAGGAAAACATTCACGTATGAACAATCACTTGGTAGTCGGTTGTCTCAATTTCGTCAACGTCGACGTCATCTTCTGCACTCAATTGAGTTTTGTCTCACAAGGTCCGTGGTCTTCAGCACTAGGTTGAGTCCGTGTTCATTAGCACTCAATAGTTGGTTGTCTCAGCACTTGAAAGAGGTGAAAATAAAATATGTTTTTAAACAACCCGAACCCAACTCGAAACTTTTGGGTTGGGTTGGGTTACCAATCTAACAAACTCGAACTTTTCGGTAGGTCTAAAAAATTCCTTCAATCCAATCCGACTCGACCTACGTACACACCTAGACCGTACATCTCTCGAACGCTCCACCTTGATCACTTGCCAATGAACACATGAAAAAGAAATGGGGAAAGGGGTAAGTCCAAAAATACTCAATAAGCAAACTACTTGTAGGCTCTCATTGCATTTTTACCCTAATAAGTTATCATGAACTTATTTTCTAGGCTCTCGGAAGTTCAGGCTTATTCCAATACTTATCGGGGCCTGAGACCATTACCATATTCACTAGGGACAACTTTCATGAGTCAACTATATGTGTAATCTCAAGTCCCATTTTAGGACCAATCTACGAATTTGCGGTGTCAACCTTGACCTATTTCTACAAGTAATAAAAATACTTACTTTGAGGTAACTACTTGTATAGTCCCAAGTCTATCTCCAAAACAGGTGTATGAAGTCGCGACACCAACCTTGACCCATTTCTACATGCAATAGAAGAGCTAACGACTTGTGTAGTCTCAAGTCCCTTCTCAAGACCAATTTATGAAGTTGTGGCGTCCGCTTTGACCTGTTTCTACATGTAATAGAAACACTCTGAAAGGCCTTAGAAGTTCTGGTGACATCACACCCCGACTGTTAAGTCAACCAGTCTTTCTCAGTCGTTCTTGTCCGTAGAAGTTTAAAAATAAATATTATGAAATTAAATATATCTATATATAATTGTATAGTAATAAATTATTACTTTTTAAATTTGATGCCTTTTATCTCATACTACTCTTTCGATACATAACCTAATGGTTTAGAAAAAAAACAAGAAAAAAATTCTCATATCGAATTCAAAGTGTCATGCTATTATTACTTTACTATATTTAATTTATAACGGAACCCCCGCCCTTAACCCATTAACGAAAAAGAAAAAATAAAAAGGTATTCCGAGATAGAATTCCTCCCGGGAACACACGAAAGAAAGATATGAACTGGGTAAATAGAAATGGAAAAGCCTGGACAATTAGACATCCAACCCGTAATCGCAACGACCCAATTGCAAGTTCAACTCAATCCAATTGGAAGACAAATTCATAATTTTTTTAGAATTAGGTAGAACATATTTTTCAAAATATTACTAAAATATGGACATATAATTATCCTTTCATTATCGAATCATTGTTCTATAAAATTAATCGAGAAGCAGACAAGTTAGTCCAAACACGTCCACACAGAGAGAACCAACGTATATTAAAAAAACCCGACCCATAGACATCGAAACCACTTAGCTCATCCAATGGGTTCTTTTATATTACAAATTCAATGAATAATTTCCACTCCCAATTAGACTTTTTCCCTGTTCACAACTACCATATCCTTCCAGTCATCATCTTCTTCGTTTTGATCTGGTCTCCATTTTTTTGCAGCCAACAAGGTAATATTTCATTCTTTATTGCTATCGGCAATTATGTTGGGGAAATTTGATGATGATCCGATTCAATCCATTGGGGATTTGAATAAGTTTTCAATTTCATGTTAACTTTTATGTGATTTTTTAGTTTGATCCATAAATTTATCTAAAATGAACTACAATCACGTTTTTGTGTAGAGTATAGAGACTACACTAGAACCCGAAAAGTTCAAAGATATCAAAAGGGATGGCATCAGATTCAGAATACTACACATTCGGGCCTCACAAGATACATCCAAAGTTCATATTCTATACCACTAATCTTTCATATGCAATGGTCAACCTTCGTCCCGTCCTTCCTGGTATACTTATATTTGTATGAATATCGTAATTGATCGCTCATGTTCGTGGATGTTCTAAACTATCAAATCTTGTTTCTTTTCAGGTCATATCCTTCTTCCGAGGCTATTTGTATTTTAACCACTTAAACTAAAGAAAAGATCGATTTTGTTGACGTATAATGAATATAGTTTATAAACTCTTTTTGTTAATGAGATTTCTGAATTCGAATCGACTCTTAAACTAAAGACGCGTCAATCCAACAAAGTAGCTCAATATTTTGATACGAGAACCCCTCTAAAGAAATGGAATGTGGTTTTGGCTTTGACAATAATACATGTATTAGTGATACCAAAGCGGGAGGTTAAGCGATTTGGAGATCTGAATGCTGATGAGATCTGCGACCTATGGCTCACAACCCAACTAGTTAGTGGCAAATTGGAGTCCTACCATAATGCTTCCTCCCTCACCTTGAACATCCAAGTAAGAAATAACTCATATTTTAAGACTTCTACCAACATTTACTCACATGTTTACCGCTTAGCTCGATGTGTATATCAACGTCAGGATGGCCCAGAAGCAGGACAAAGTGTTCCACACGTTCACATTCATATTATCCCACGAAAGTCTAGTGACTTTGCGAGAAATGATGATATCTATGATGCAGTAAGAATAACCCTTATAATTTTGCATTGAAGTTATTCAGTCTTTTTTATGCTCGAGATGTTTTCGAATGACACATTTTTCGTCGAGGAAGATGTGTCGTGTTGTGTTTTGTAACACGATTTATGTTAGACGAAACTGAATATTATTATTATTATTTTGGTTTTGTTTTGTTTGTTTGTAGATGGATGAGAATGATAGAGCATTAATGCAACATATTGATTTGGATGAGAAGAGGATGGATAGAGGATTTGAGGAGATGGCACAAGAAGCTGATGAATACACAAAGCTTTTCCTCTAGTTGTGATGGCTTTTGTTAATGTTTTAAAAGTCGTCAAAAAAAAACTTATGAAGATGACGTTGCACTTTACATCGGTTTTAGACTTTAAATTTTAAGTGTTATGTTTTAAACTTCGAACATCTTTCAGTCTCCTTTATAACTTGGACATAGTTACCTTATTTATAAGAGTTAGATTGTCCTTAGAATGTTACGTGATTAATTTTGGACTTCTTATGATTGCAGTAGTAAAGAGGAATGTGCACCTAAAACCTTACCTTCTATTTGATACCATTTAATTTTTGTAATGAACATTTTGATGGCGGTTTATATGTGAAATCAAGGTTACTTTCAGATACTGATGAATAGTTGAATCATTCCCACGAGGTTTGATGGCAATCTGCGAGATAATTTGAGAAATTTTGCTCCCAAATCTAGGGGAGAATCTTACACGGAGGAATACTAAGAGAATCTTATGACAATCCTTAGGATAATTCGAGGATTATCGTTCCCAAATCTAAGAGAATCTTACATTGAGGACTACTAGAATCATCTCCATGAGGTCTGATAGTAATCCTCAGGATAATCCGAGAATTATCAGGGGGGTTCTTATTTGTACAAATGGTATTTTGAAATTGAAACGAGCATGAAGAAATTAACGATACTTCTTTATCTTTTGAGTTGTTCTGCCAGATCGGTTGCTCAAGACCTTTGGTCTCTATTCGGATCGAATGAAAAAAATGGGATCACTTCTTATAAACTCATTTGAGAATGATTCTGATTTAGTTCATGATCTATTAGAAGTAGAATGTACTCTGTTGGGATTGAGATCCTCACAAACAGAAAAAGATTGCAATCGATTTGATAATGATCGAGTGACATTGCGTCTTCGGCCCAAACCTAGGAATCCTTTAGATATGATACAAAATGGATCTTGTTCTTTGTTCTGTCGTTGATTAGAGATTTCTCTATGAACAATACGGATCGGAGTTTGAAGAAGAAGGAGTCCTCAACCCGCAACAGATAGAGGAGGATTTATTCAATCACATAGTTTGGGCTCCTAGCATATGGCGCCCTCATTCCAAAATCTAAGAGAATCTTACACCGAGGACTACTAGAATCATCTCCACGAGCTCTGATGGTAATCCTCAAGATAATTCAAGGATTATTATTCCCATATCTAAGAGAATCTTACACAAGGAACTGGAATCATCTTCACGAGGTTTGATGGTAATTCTCAAGATAACTCGAGGATTATCGTTCCAAAATCTAAAAGAATCTTACACAGAGGACTATTAGAATCATCTCCACGAAGTATGATGACAATTCTTAGGATAATTCGAGAAATATCGTTTCTAAATCTAAGAGAATCTTACACCGAGAACTACTAGAATAATCTCCACAAGGTCTTATGGTAATCATCAAGATACTTCGATGATTATCATTCTCAAATCTAGAAGAATCTTAGACGGAGGAGTATTAGAATCATACGTATAAGGTTTGATGAAAATTAATTTTTGAACTAAACTCGAGAGGACTACTCCAATGTGACCGAAAAACAAATTTATTATTGGAAGACCGAAAAAAAAAAAAAATACAAGGGGTTGATTGTAATATTAATGAAATACGAGAGGTTGGCTGCAATATTCAATAAATTATTGAAGATAAATTGAAAGAATTAAAAATTTAGGGGCGTAATCAATATTCAATAAATTATTGAAGATAATTTGAAAAAATTAAAAATTTAGGGGCGTAATTGTAATATTTAATTAAATAGATTTATTTATTTAATTAAAATTTTAAGGGTGGATTGTAGAAACATACTTGAGGGGTTTAAGAGTCATTTGCGAAATTTTGAGTAATAATAATAATTATTTATTTGCTTTCAAAAATCTAATTTTTTCTTTTAGATAGCACTACTACAGTCTCCACCCTTCCTCCTAATTTTCCTTTTCCCCGAATCCACTTCCATGCCGCCGTTCTGAGGTTGCCGTCGCCGGAGACTCGTTTTCCGTTACCATAGCCGGAGTGGATCTTCTTCTTCTTCTTCTTCTTCCTCTTCTTCCGTCGAATTATTTCTCTGGACTGTAGTGTAAGTGGAGTTTCTTCTTCGTCCGTTCTATTTTTCATCTTTTTTCACACTTAATTTCTCTTCCATGCTTCTTCTTTAGCTCTTGTTGCTTTAAGTTTCAAGGATTCTCCTCCATGCTCCAATTATTTGCCATATCTTACGTTTTTTCCCATCAAAATTGACTTGCGCTTGTGCTTGGGAAAAGGAAAGAAGGGTTGCGATTCATGAATGTTTGTAGTTCAATGTCGCATTTTCGATTGTTTTTTAATAGAAAGCAGTTCTTGCATATGTATTAATTCAGCTATGTTGCGAACTTGTTGATAACTTCACACTGCGTTGTCCACCACATGTTTGATAAAATGCCAACTTGTATTCGGGTTCGTTATCATTAATTAAAATTATTGTCGCCTGTTTTACAAAAATCTTCAGTATTTGTTGATGGTGTGTGCAGATTCAGCGCATTCTATATGTTAATTAAAAGGTTAATCTGCCTGACAGGAAGCTGGATGGAATGATTCTTAATTGTTTGTAAAAGTTGAATGTTAATTTGATGTATCATCATTGTTATCTTGACTGATTTTTTCGTTTTTCTTGTTTTCAGAATGTATTTGATATCATCTACTTGAATTGGAATTCGTTCTTGTTCAGAGAATTTTTGTAGCAATTATCCTTGCTGGGTTATCAGAGTTGTGCTATTTTCTACACAGCTTATGTAATCATTTCTAGGGAAAACTGTGGAAAACATGAATGCTTTAATACCAAGCAGGTTATTTGTGTTTGCTGGAGAGTCGTTTAGCTTCCAAAAGTTACCTCGCGTTTATCGATCGACATGGTTTCACAGTGGTGTGTTTAGTCTTAGCAAGGCTGAACTGAACCAAGGACCCCTTACTCTAGCAAGCCTTGGGTTCAAAAGTGAGTTTCAAAATACAAGCAAGAGCAAAGTGAATAAGGTTACCGAGTTAGATTCTCCACGGGACATCCCGAAAAGTAGAGTGAAGATTGTTCGAAACAATGAAAAAAAGGTGGTTGGAGTGAGAAACATGGTAGAAGCAGAGATGGCTCCATTTTCTGCCAAGTTATTTTCTGAGCTTGGTCTTCCAGCTTTGTTGATAGAGAGGTTGGAAATTGAAGGCTTCACCGTTCCTACTGACATTCAATCTGCATCGATTCCGACCATTTTAAAAAACCATGATGTCGTCATTCAATCCTACACGGGTTCTGGAAAAACATTGGCATATATTCTTCCCATCCTTTCAGAAATAGGCCCGTTTAAGAATACAGCTTCCAATTACAATGATGAACCTGGAAAGAAAAAGGAGATAGAGGCAGTTATTGTAGCTCCGTCAAGGGAGCTGGGAATGCAAATTGTGAGAGAGTTTGAGAAGATATTAGGACCTGCAAACCGGAAAGTAGTTCAGCAGCTTGTCGGAGGTGCGAACCGAACAAGACAGGAGGAGGCTTTGAAGAAAAACAAACCCGCCATTGTTGTTGGGACACCAGGAAGAATTGCTGAAATCAGTGCATCAGGAAGGCTGCACACCCATGGTTGTAGCTTCTTGATCTTAGACGAGGTCGATGAACTACTTTCATTTAATTTTCGGGAAGACATGCATCGCATATTGGAACATGTTGGAAGAAGATCAGGTGCAAACTCACAAGGATCAGAAAATGCTCAAGCAAGAAGGGTGGAGCGTCAATTAGTCATGGTATCTGCAACAATGCCATTCTCAGTAGTAAGAGCAGCTAAAAGCTGGGGGTGTGACCCTCTTCTTGTCAAGGCCAACAAGGTTGCCCCTCTTGACTCGGTTCCTCTCATGGGACCTGTAAATCTGAGAGGGCCTTCCTCGGGGCCGACTTCGAACACAACTTCGCAGAATCAGACTGCCATTGATACTCTACCTCCATCTTTAAAACACTACTATTGTACTTCGAGGTTGCACCACAAGGTCGATATGTTAAGACGTTGTGTTCATGCACTCGATGCCAAATTCGTGATGGTTTTCATGAACCATACAAAGCAACTAAGGGACGTCGTCTTCAAGCTAAAGGCTCGTGGAATGAATGCGGCAGAGCTACATGGGGATCTCGGAAAACTTGCAAGATCAACTACTTTGAAAAGTTTCAAGAATGGTGAAATAAGAGTTCTAGTGACCAACGAATTAGCTGCTAGGGGATTGGATATTGCTGAATGTGACCTTGTGGTTAATCTGGATTTGCCCACAGACTCGATTCACTACGCACACCGAGCAGGTCGGACAGGTCGGCTTGGTCGGATGGGGACGGTGGTGAGTATTTGCGAGGAGCCAGAAGTGTTTGTGGTGAAAAAACTGCAGAAGCAACTTGGTGTACCCATTTTAGCCTGTGACTTTATTGAGGGAAAGCTCGTGGATAAAGAGAAAAGCTAGGTAGGAGCACAATGGGAAGTGTGTTTGTGTTTGATTGAAAGCAGTTTTTTGAAATTTGTACGTTTGGTCAGGTGGTAAAATTTTTTGGCTAAGAAAGTGCTTTATTATTTTGAAGTAGTGTTCCCAAAACTTATCTCAAACCCGATCTAATTAGGTTTGTATATACATAATTTCGAAATATATATCCTAATAAGAGAAAATGAAAAACTGGTTAGAATGGATATATTACTAGACCTGTCACAATTCAAGAACAATGTTGGAAATGTTAAATCTTTTCATTATTTAGTTTCAATAGAAAGAATCAGTCAACTGAATTAATCCATCTGAGAAACTTATATAATAAAAATTCATTTCACCATATTTCAAAATGATCATTTTAACTATAATCAAACACAAATGCAATTTTCGTTTTATTATAAAATGAAATATATTATTTACATTTTAAGGCAAAACTCCACTCTTGATTGGATCACCCATAAAATTTGCCTTCGGCAAGTAAAATCTACCCACATGGGACCAAACTCAATCTCTTCCTTTCCTACTCTTTGTGCAAAGTGGCCGTTGGAAATTGCCAAGTCATTCTATTTTCTATCAATTATGAATCACAGTTTGAATTTGTCACAAGTCGGATGTCATCTCTGAGTTGAGGCTTGCAAGGGGGTCATATCATAATCTGCAAGAATTTCAACCAAGTTTTAGGGCATATTATTTTCGAACTTATTGAACTGGATAATTGCTGGAAATTACCTAAATCCAGAAAATTTTGTTTGAAAAGAAACACATAAGGGTCAAACAAGCTACCTTCCAACATGTAGAAATTGATTACACGGAATAAAAAAAAGTATCACTCAGTTTAGTTAATTGAGTTCATGTTATGATCTCACATAGTTTAAACATATAGATTATTTCAACTTTTGGAGGCATTCAATTTCAGAAATAGCTTAGCTATTAAGCATAGTTTTGAAACAATACAAAAAAAGGGGTATAAAAAGGAGTAGTCGTCCTACTAAAACAGAGGAAGATATGACTAAATACAATTGCATATTATCATCGCGATCAAGCATTATGATTAGCATGCGATCGTGTGATCATAGTGTGCAATCATATTTTGGTCATATCTCCCTCGATACTAATCTGTTTTGGCTAAAAGACCCCTCGTTTTTATGTTTTTTCTTTTATTCTTTTTAACCATGCTGATAAACTAGGTAAAATGAATCTTGACTTTTAATGCCTCGGAAAGTTCAAAAAAATCCAAAACTTTTAAGAGGTCATAACCTAGAACTCAAATTTTAAGAGCTCATGACAACGTTTCAAAATCTTGGTGGTGGAAGATAGCTTGTTCGACTATTCAACTCGAAAATCGTGGTAACTGGTTCTAGATGAACGGCAACAAGATTTTTGGTTATCAGTTCTCCAATATCCTTTTAATCTTTCATTCTTTCTCAACAATTGTGGAGGAGGAAAAAGGCTATGAAATCAATAATGGACAGAGAATTACCTGAAGAAGCAGGGAGATTAAATTTTCGCTTTAGAAACGTGGAAGCTTCCGTATCTTTTTTGTGGCATAAGACTCGTACCAATGCCTGGGAATCGTTAAAATGAAGATTGCCATTATTACTACACGGATCCAATTCCGTAGAAATATCCCCACCTGAGCTCATCAGCAGTTGAATAATAGTTTCAGTCTGCAGAAAAATGCACCAATTAGAAAACGCGGAACACATGAGAAACTCTATAATAAGGACTTATAATATAAACTTGATCAACAAGATAAACAAACCGGAAGTGAATATAAGCCCAATATTTCTTCAGCAAATTTTGCTTCCTTCTCAACAAGAGTACGGGGAAGACCTTCTCCATCAGCTACAAAGAAGTCCTAGAATTGAAGATGCAAGAACAATATAAATGTAATCGTTTATCGTAAACCACAAGTTCAATCAACCATTTCCCCAACTTACATGCAAGGCTATGGCATTAGTTTTTTGCAGGAATCCTATCATAAACTACAACTGTAAAAGTAATTTCAACCTAGAGCACATACCTTCAATATACCGAGATCTTCCTTAATGAGAACAATATCTGAATCAGAAAATGCACGTGAAGGACCTCCATTAAGCATCACCCATATGAAGGCTTCCTGGAAAACAATGCATTTCAGATGGAAGGAGCAAAAGGTAGGAGATAGAAGTAGCATTCTTAAATGATCGTACCATTGATGCTCGACAGATGCTCAATACCACGAGATCCCTAAGAGTATCGTCGATCCTGCCACATACATTGTTTAGGACCTATAATATAATAGATGTCTTAGATGAGTGCAACCCACAGATAAAATGTATAAAGAAATATACTATACATATGCAAGCATGACGCACATAAAAGACATTACAGACAAAATTGGCACAATATCACGTTTAGTGAGTCAAAGATCTTACCGTATCAAGATGTGCAAGAACGTCTTCTAATCGAACAGCCTCAACATTGCCACGATACAAATACGAGATGAACCCATCTCTGAGATCCCAAAAAATAACTCTTATGCCTGGAGAGTAGAATTTGAACAAAATTAAGACTATTATTCAGAGATGGAAAAGTTGTTACAAATATGATTTTTTTTATGTAAGCATTCTACAGTCATCTTGCAAAACAGTTTAACAAAAACCAAAAATAGAAGTGTAAAAGAACTTGACTAAAAAATTGGTATTGTCCTTCCCAGTTCCCCTCTTATTTGAGGACATAATTGAGAATATGGAGACCATACTTAGGGTCAACAATAAAATGGTTATGTTCTTCCCAGTTTCCCTCTTATTTGAGGACATACTTAATTGAAAATACGGAGACCAGAAAATGCACCATACTTAGGGTCAACAAATTATATTTTAAAGCATAACCTAAAATCAATCTAGCTTAACCTTAATAACTACATAAATTTAAAGGCCACCATAAAATTGGTTGAGAAACTCACCAGTAATGTCACAAAACTTGCTGATAGCCTTTGCAATGAAACTCTTAATGTTGTTGAAAGTGTTGGCAAACAACTCATTAACTTCGTCACTACAGGTACGAAGACCACCATTGACAATCGCCTCTTCCTGGGCTGAATGGACGATACTATAGGTATTAACATCAAATATACAGTGATGAAAGTAATCATTTTGGGGTTGAATGAAATTAATTAGATCGGGCTATCTGTTGGAAAATTACCATGGCCAAAACTTTGAAAACAACCGTTCTAAATTTATCATAGGCATAGCAAATCAAATTACTTCAATTAGAGAAACGTGTCTAGATGTTGCGAGAAGTCTTTAATCCTTCCTCAAATCTAGTCTGGTCTAATTTGCTAAGAAATTTAGGGTTCAAAATAACTAGAAGTGTCCGAGTTCGGTGACTGGTTTCCTCCATTTGCATACTGCATCCTCTTTTCCTCTTTTCCTCTTTCCCACTCTTAGTAAATTAGACCAGACTAGATTTGAGGAAGGGAGAGAGGGAAAAACATGAAAAAGTAAGGTAATAAAAAAATAATATAAATTAGAGAAAATAGGCACCTCATTTAAAATTTGTCACCTCAACATAGCACATCATATTTTCATGGTCAACTAAACTCTAATATTAAGGACGAAAAGTGTACTTTTGTCTAAAGTTTTAATAACCACCAAGAAGGAATAAACAACATATTCATCCCTCTCTATAGAGACTCTGATAGAACCAAAATATATAGCGCCTCCCCCTCTTATGAACACTCATGCCTAAATCAACTAAATCAATGCTCACCTCCATCATTTCTAACCCACTCTATTTATAACAAAACACTCCTAACAAACTATTTAGCTAATTACTAACATACCCTTAACACTCCAATAACATTCTAATAGCATTCCAATCAGACTCCAGCTATAGCTTACTCTAAAGACGCCACACTTCCTCCACAAATTTTTTAATATACAGAACGAATAAGCACATCAATCTGTTTTTTATTTTAGTGATTAAGAATATTAAAGAAAATTTGAAATAAGAAAACTTAAACCTGAACCAAGCTTTAAGAAGTGGTAACGAAGTATTATAATTCCACAAGCCAGATAAACAAACACAAGAAAGGAATGAGAAGGCAACATTTTGTCATATGCCGTGGGGACTTCTTAGTACTATAGCAATAAAAATACTGATGTCAACTAATTCAATCCTTTTCCGCATATGGTTTTTATTGTCATTATGCAAAATGAAGACAGACCACTAGTTTCTGTCTTTTAGTAATAATTAATGTTAGGTATATTGAATGGTAATATCAAGTGAAATAAATATATATGTACCGCGTTTATGCTTAGCAGATTCTCCAATAAGTGCCCAAGATTTTCCAATTCTATCCTCCAGTGTTTCAATTTGTTTTTGAATGTACTGCATGAAGAGAAAAGAGAGGTAACACAAAATAAAACTACCAATTGACAGCGTCATTAAGAATGGCATGTTAACTATGATCACGTAAAAGATTTAAGGGGAACTACCCTTCCCCCTGATTTTGTATTGTCATTAACTGATCATACATGACAAAGACCACGCTCAAAATATTATAAGTACTGCATTTACTACAGAAGAATGATCTCACATAACTTCAAACATGCATATGCATTTAGTGAAAAAAAAAATGTAAAAAAAAAAAAAAAAAGCTTTTAACTTGAAGCATCACTTACACCAAGGGTATTCAATTTTATACAAAGCTTAGATATTGTCAATCCATTCAATTTGCTGCTCACATGCTCATCTAAATGACATTCGGGCAACTTTTTCTTTCCTGTTGCAACTGTCTCCATAAAACGAGTCAATGGAGGAACAGGTGGATACAAATAATTCTTCTCAACTGCAATGGAAAAATGATATGATCATTTCTCCAATAGAATGTGATTTTCAAGAGTAAATTAATAAATCCGAACATGTACCATTCGAGGCTATTCTATGGTTGACATGGATGGAAGGGAATTCAAGAGTTTTTTCAGATAAGAATATTTCCTTTGATTACTTTTGTGATTTGTAACTACTCCACTTACACACCATCATTCCTTGTGGAAAAGGGATGCCTAATCCCTTTGTCCTTAGGTTTTTTTGCTTTTCCTTTTATGTGTGTGTGTGTACATATGTCTGAATTTTTTGCAACTTGCCATCAACCTTCATTCTTCGTAAATTCCGAAATTCATAAATTACCTAACTGGTTGAGAAGACCCGATAGATAGCCATCCAAGCTGTGATAGACAATGGACAGGAGAGCTTGCAAATGTGTGATGTCCATCGGAAGGTTCAGGTCAAAATACTGGTCAACAGTCTGCAAGTTTTTCATTATAAGTCCATAATTAGTAAACAAAAATTTATGAAACTAGCCCTCGATAGTAAATTTAAAAGGAAACAGAAAAAATGTAGCTACAAGAAAATTTTACACACTGCTACTACTTCCACTGGTTGCATATGGTAATTATTTGGAAAAAAAAATGCAGAAGAAACCAACAAGAATGACCACTAACACCTATGACATCGGTAGAACATAACCCCAAGTGCTCAAAAGTTATCAATCAGTATATTTAACAGCGACTCTAAAAATATTCTTTCACTCCCCAACCTCAGAAACTTTGGTAGGAAAGTATCATTAGAATTCATAGGAGCAAACCAAAATTTCTCGCCTTTCAGACATAACTAAAGTAATTGTCTTTACAATGATAAATACCTCCTCAATAATTCTAAAAACTTCAATAACTGATGCTGCCAGATTTTGCTGAAACGATATTGGTTCCCAATCCTTCACTTGCCAAAAAAAACCCAAAATAGTAAGAGGTGTCGATCAACCTACACATGCAATGGAAAGAAAAGATATATCTAATGTGTTTTTTGTGTGCTTTGTCCAGCAGTTTGAGTCCATAAAAGAAGAGATAAAATATAGATATTCCAATAATCATAACTCGATTCAACAATTAAAAAAATAAAAAAAAACCAGTCATGAACCAACCTAGTTCTTTTTTTCCTGTGTTTGGTTGGATCGAATTTGCATGATTTAAGGTTAGATGTTATTTTTTTTTTCTTTGGTTTTTGGTTATCTTGATTTTTTATTCTTAGTGCTATTTCTAATAGATGGTTTGTTCAAAGTTCTTCAGTATTCTTAAAAAACCAAAGCAAACCGTCAATTTTTTAATTATTTAAACCAAACTAAAAAAATGCAAAGGTCAACCAAATATGTGGATTTAGAAAAGTTTACTTTGCCACTTGTTGTTGTGGACATCACTTGCTACGCTAGCTTATTGTTACTTGTTAAGTAGCTAGCCCTATGCAAGTTAGTTGTGCACTACATCTGTGCCTAGCACATGCCAGGAGTGTTATTGCATTATGCCTTCATGCTCATCAAACCTTACACTTGCATGCAAGTCTGTGTGCTCATTCCGATTTGTTGCCCACAAATCCTGGAGTTTCCTCAGCAGTCAGAAACCTCCATGCACAAGCACCTTAATAGCACCATGCACATGTCCTCTGTCTGGCTGATCTATATAGCACAACCTTCTGCATGGCTTAACCATATTGACATTTATGTTGGCCATGGTCAACCCAACATTGTGGGCACCCAAACTTGACTTCAGTGGTTCGAGGATAATATAAATGAAAGAAAAAGGGAAAGAACATCATATTGATATATTACTCTTAAAAGAAGGGGGACATGGTGAAATCACTAGACGCTAAAGGGGGACATGGTGAAACCACTAGACGCTAAGTACTTAACTGGATAGAGCCTTGATACGGAAACCTATTCCGTGATAACTTTCAAATCTAGAGAATGCTTGCGATTAAAAATGGACAATCTTGAGACAAATTCTTTTTCTGAAAGAAAAAAGCAAAAGGAAAAAAGCAAAAAAAAAAAAAAAAAAAAAAAAAAAAAAAAAAAAAAAAAAAAAAAAAAAAAAAAAAAGAAGTAGGTGTAAAGACTCCGATGGAAGTTGTTCTAACAAATGGAATTGACACGAAATAACAATTTTAGAAACCAGCATATTATTTGACAACACTTTCTGGAAAGTTATGGACAACTTCCTGTAGGATTTTATTAATGCCAAATATGCACCCTTTCCCATGGATAGTTTACCCTCTATTTGGTTCAATATCCTAAAGTGAAAGACATATTTCTCAAATTCAGCTCTATCAAAACAGATGATGGTCCAAAATTTTTCTTTTGGTGATGACTAAGAGGGTGGGGGACACACCCAAACTTCACTCTTTCCCCCAGCAACACAGTTGAATCAAAGACATTAGGAGCAGTCAGGGCAATTATTGGGAACCCTCCTTTAGAAAACCTCTAAGAGACTTACGTGGAGGATTGAAACTCCCTTTTTCACTGTTTTGAATAACAAGAGGCTTTTCTTGTTCCAGATTAGATGGTGTGGAGTGTCTATAGCAACGGCATCTTCGTTGTCTACTCTCTCATGGGACCCCTCTTTGTTAGTTAGTTCTTCCTTCCTCCTCTTTTTCGTAAGATCCTAGGGAAAATCAAGATCCTCAAGAAGGGTATAATCTATCTTTAGTTGGGGGATCTTAACAACGCAGATAAAGCTCAGAAGAGGTACACATCTGTGATTCTCTATCCATCGAACCTTGAAGACATTGATCACCAAATGTCTTGTCCAATTGTGCCAGTCCATTCTTCTTGACAAATATAGCATCCCTTGAGTCCAGCATCGGTCAGTCAACTCATCATTGCTCTAGACCTTCTCCAACCTCAGCCTTTCTAACCACAAGCATGAATTGTGGCAACCTCACAAGTGCTGCTTTCTAGTGGGTTCTAGTTGATTTGGCAGCATCATTCAATAAAAACCGAAGGCTTCATTAATAACCATTATACTTTTGGTTTTTAATTTTTCTATTTCTGTTTATAAAAAAAACAAAAGCCGATTACTTTTAATAGAAAACAAAAACCAGGTTCGACAACTTTTGGTTTTTGTTTTTTTCAAAGATAGAAAACCAAACATGCTTGTTAATCATTTATGTTTTCAAGAAAGTTGGAAAACAAAGAGAAATGTTAGATCAAGGGGAAAAAAATTTAGAGAGAAAATAAATGTTTAAAGATAAAGAGAACATCTATAGAGAAAAGTGAGATGTTAGGGAGAGAATATTAGATAAAGTGAAAGAAAAACTGTTTTCTTCTAACGCAGTATTTTCTTTTTTCTTTCTCTGACATATCTCTGCAATTCCCCCCCCCCCCCCCCCCCCCCCCCCCCCCCCCCCCCCCCCCCCCCCCCCCCCCCCCCCCCCCCCCCCCCCCCCCCCCCCCCCCCCCCCCCCCCCCCCCCCCCCCCCCCCCCCCCCCCCCCCCCCCCCCCCCCCCCCCCCCCCCCCGAATTTTTCTTTTTTCGATCTCTCTAAGTTTCAGTTGTCCAGGCTATGTCAACCTACATTCTTTTTTACCATGGCTTCTACAGTTTCATTCCTTTACTTATTACTGTACATGAAAGATAAATAACAGCAATTATATCAAGATCATATTTTCACCCTTCACTTGATCCTTGACTTCCTATCTGATACATCTTTCCTTAAAATAAACTAGCTACTGCTTTCACTCAGACAAATAGCATATTACATATTGAACCAGAAAAATCACTCTGCAAATAACTAACCTCTAACTTGAAAGCACGTCCAGTCCATTCAGAGGTTTGTTCCAGTTGATCGATCATCCAGTCAAGAATTATGGGCTTAGCAATTTGTACAATCTGCCCAAAAGACGGAGGAAAGAAACAAACAGCTTACATGCCTTGATATTACAAGTACATACAACACTACATATGGATTTAACACTGCCGTTAATGAAGAAATGAATAACCCAATCAATTTCAAATCTCCAAATGAGAAGATTACAACCTAATAAATACGAACCTATTAAGAGCTTACGAGAGGAAATAGGCAATATAAAATATTTTACAAGGAAATAAAATATTTTACAATTAAAAGAAATTAAGATTACGAAAAGAAAAAAAAAATAATGAGCTGTAGTAAAATATTCAGAGAGAGAACAGTCAGCTAGCAAAAAAGGCTCCAGCCAATTGTCCCTTATATTTGCCACCCCGCTGTCCCCACATTGTTCAATTTTCACATTGGAATGAAAAAGATTCCCACCACCTTCCCTTGCCTTCAAATCTCTAGGGGAGAGGATGTACGCTTTTGGGTGCACTCATACGAGTGGAGAGAGAGGCATAGAATGGACGACATGGTTAGACAAGTGCAACAGAGGGGAAGGAGGCAAAGGAGAAGAGAGAGAATTCTTTTGGAACATTTTCAAAGCCTCAGGGGTTAAATTATATGATTTCAGAAGTTAAAAGATACTAAAGACAACTACTTAAGAATCCTCGTGAACCTTGTTGTTATTCTTTGGCTCCTTGGTTTGCTGGGTTTAGTTAAGTTTTTTATTTTTGATAGTGTTGCAAGTCTAAATTATCTTTATGAAAGTGCATGCCCCTATTATAGAAAAGATAAATAAATCCCTAGATAGTATGTGACAATAAATCTTTAGGTAACAATATAGATAAATTAGGGAGGTCAACTACTTCCCTTATTTAATGGGATTACACAAGTATCTCTTAGGTTCAGGCTAGGAATTACACAAATACTCCTTAAATATAGGTTATTCCTTCAACACTCCCTCTCAAGTTGAGGAATAGATACTAACTTATGAAACATTGAGTTGTTAAATTATTTTGTTAGTATATCTACTAGTTGAAGTTGTGAGGGCACATAACTAATGCATATCATCCCCTTCTCTAGTTTCACTTGGATAAAATGTCAATCAATTTCAATATACTTTGTCTTATCATGCTGGATAGGATTTTGTGCAATATCGATAACTGATTTGTTATCGCAGTACATCTTTACCGGACCTTTTCCTTTAATCTGTAAGCCATCAAGGATTGTTTTCAACCATAAGAGTTCACATAGCTCTTGTGCAATAGCTTGGCCTTCTGATGCCAAATTACCTCCAAGAAAAGTACAATTCCCGTAGTAGATCTTATGTCCACTATTGATCCAATGCATGGGAATTGTGTCATTGGAACAAAATTTCTTTTCCTGAAGTTCCTTTCAAGTAATGTAACACTCTATACGCTGCTTGAAGGTGAGGCTCCTGTGGATCAGGCATAAATTGGCTAATTATACTCACTGAGTATGCTATGTCTAGTTGAGTGTGAGCTAGAAATATAAGCCTCCCCACTAGCCTCTGGAAAATTTCACGGTTCACTGCAGGTTCCTTTTTTTACTCTGCCAGTTTCTGAGGTGGATCCTTTGGTGTTGGTAGATGTTCACATCCATTTTCCATCTTTCCATCAATAAATCCTATTGTGATAATAATAATAAAAAAAAAAATTTAAAAAAAGAACCTAAATTGAGTATGCTACTTCAATACCAAGAGAGTACTTTCCAAGTTCTTTGATCTCAAATTCTTTCATCAATTTCCTTATAAGTTCAATTTTTTCTTTTTCATTATCTCCAGGAACTATAATTTCATCTACATACACTAGAAGCACTGTAACTCCCCTTGATAAAGAAAGTGTGATCTCCTTGACTTGAACAATACCACAATCTTCCAAACCACATCCTTGGTGATTGTTTCAATCCATACAAATTCTTTCTCAATTTGTATACTTTACCTCTTGATCTTTCAAATCCTAGAGGAATGCTCATCTTTGTAACTAGGGCAAATGTCTCATGGTAATCTATACAGTAAGGTCAAGTGTATCCCCTTAGCTACTAATCTTGCCTTATACCTTTCCAACGTTCCATCAGCCTTATACTTTACTGTAAAAAGCCACGTACACCCAACTATATTTTTTCTTTTTGGCCAATCCACAACTTCCCATGTGTTACACTTTTCTAAAGCATGCATTTCTTCTCTCATAGCATCCTTCCATTCTCATTTGGATAAAGCAAAGTCCACAAGCATAGTTTGAAAAAATTCAAGCAGATGATTGAAAACTTTGGAATGAGGAAAAGAAAGTCTGATCATTTTGTCTTTTATAAATAATCAGAGAGTGAGATCATCCTGTTGATCGTGTATCTTAATGATATTGTTATTAGTGGTGATGACACTTTAGCCATTTAACCGCTCAACACCTTTTTGCATAGTCAATTCCATACAAAAGATTTGGGAATGTTGAAATACTTTCTAAGAATTGAGGTAATGAGAAGCAAGAAGGGAAATATGTTATCACAGAGAAAATATGTACTTCTACTTGAGTTATTGGCAGAAATAGGAAGTTAGGGCTAAACCGTATTGGAAATTTTGAAATACTTTATAGGTAATAAGAAGCAAGAAGGGAATTTTGTTATCACAGAGAAAATATGTACTTGACTTGTTTGCTAAAATAGGAAAGCTAAGGGCTAAGCTAAGTAGTACTCAAATGGTGCTCAATTTCCAGCTCACAAAATAGGAAGAACTATTAAAAAAATATGGAAAGAGGCTAATGGAAAAATTCAATTATCTTGCAATGATTCAACCAGACATAGCTTATACAGTGAGTACCATAAGCCAGTATATATATTCTCTACAGTTGATCATTGGCCTGCATTGGAGTAGATTTTATGTTATTTGCAAGCAGTTCCTGGACCTGATTTTTTATTTAAAATTATGGGCATTCTAACGTTGAATGCTTCTCGTATGATGATTAGGCAAGGTCTAAGGAAGATAAAAAGAGCAACTTCAAGATATTCTGTATTTGTGGATAATTTAGTTTCTTGGAAAAGTAAGAAACAACAGTAGCGTCACATTCAAGTGTTGAATCAGAGTATAGAGCAATGACATATTCTGTATGTGAATTAGTTTGGATACGTCAACTTCTCATTGGATCGAGATTTGATATCACAACACCGACCAAATTGTGGTGTGTTAATCAAGTAACTCTTCATATCACATCTAATCCGATATTAGATGAGCAAACTAGACATATTGAGGTCAATTATCATTTTGTACGTGAAAAGATAAAACCAAACCAACGGAGCATGAATATAGATTATCTCTAACAAGTTGGGCATAATGAATATATAAGTTCCAACTTGAGAGGGAGTGCTAAATAAAGTCTTTATATTGGAATAATTATAATTTTGTAAATATACTAGTTCTGTGGTTCTTTATTGTCTCTTTACCTTCTCTTGCTAAGGTTAACCTTGTGCATTTGTATATATTTATCTTTTTGGTGAATGGTAATTATTTTGATTCTCTCAAATTTTAGTTGTTTATACTACTCAACTTTTAGTGTCTCTTGGAGTTCAAAACAACCACAAGCATACAGAATATAAAATTCAAATAAAAGCATTACACATCCATATGTGATATTGTATAAGGGAAAAGATTGGCTGACCGGATAGTGCTCAAGGTCTTCCTTGAGAAGAGGGCTTAATCTACTTTCTTTGGAAGCAGCAGTAAATAAATGAGTTAGGTCACGATCTAAGGAATAGGCAGCTGGAAGCACCGACCTTACATCATCTGAAAGCTTCGATACTTCCTTTAAGAATGGCTTCTGCGTTATGATGAGAACAACATCCAGAATATAAAAAAAATGAAATAAAGGAAAACCAGCACTGGCAAAACAAAAATTTCACAAAAGGAACTAACGAAACAAACCAGTTTTTCTCCATAATATTGGTGCAATAGCATCGCTGCAATTATCCCAGAATCAGGACATAATTGACGTAACACCGGGAAGAATACAGTAATTTCTTTCTCCACAACCAATCGTAGCCTATTGGCAAGGAGTGCCAGAGGATGTATACTCGCTTTGGATTCAGAATTTGCATTATTCTCCGCCTAACCAAATAAGTAGACTAAAATAATTGAATACTCTATGATGGATTGTAAAGAAACGATGCTTTCTCAACCATATTCTTATGATACTGTGTAACACATCTTGACTTACCTCTTTGTAAGCAGCTTCTATGGACCTCTCGACATAGGTTCTGAGTTTTCTAGCTCCAATTGCTTTCAAACCATCCAATTTTGTTAACTAAAGCAAAATATTGACAATTTACATAAGGTTCAAAACAGCAAGATTAGAATGAATGAATAAGTTTGCTTCAGGGGCTCCTTGTAATCTCCTAAAAGGAGTTGTTCCCTACAATTTCGGTTGCAACTTTCCAGTATTGATGGAAAAGTAGTTTCCTTTTAATATAAACAAGTAAAAATCCGATGCCTGATTAGCCCCAATTTGAACATGTAGACTTGAAATTATCATCATCTTAAAACTAGACTCTGCTGCCCTAAAAAAAATATTAATTTAATTCCGACAGATTAAAATGAAATAAAAATAAAATGAAAATATCTAACACTTTTTGGTTCCTTCCCATAGAAATAATCTCTCATGAAGCACCCTACATTTTTTTTTAAATAAAAAAACCTACTGTCATGGAGATAAATTGAAAGAATACAAATAACACAAAAAGAAGCACCCAGACCCAAGAAAAACTACACAAAAAAGAGTCCAATCCAAAAGGATGAGGTATAAAGGATAATTAAATAAATGAATAAATAATTTTTTTAAAAAAAGAGAGAAAAAAAATCTCTTAGTAACAGACATGCAATAAATCTATCGGGAGACCAGGAGATCTCTTAAACCCCTCAAAAACTCTCCTATTCCTCTCTAACTAAATCCCACAAACAACAGCAAAGAATGCATCACGCTAAAGGATAGAAAACAAGCTATTTAAAGTGACTTCCATAATTATGCAAGCAAGTTCCTGGAATTTTGCTAATTCAGTAAGCAACATTATAACTAAAGCTAGTTATTCCATATAGCATCAGGAAATGATAACCTCCAATCCCTTAATATCCTCGTCATAACATGATAAACACGCGTAACTCCACATGACTGAATAATTCAGGCATGTTATACTCAAAAGCTTAAGTTTTTGAGTTTAGAGAGGTCTTATGTTCAAACCTTTGTAACTAATTTATGCTCCTAGTATTATTGATTTTCACTTATTGGGCCTTCTACTAATTTTCAAGCCCAAAAGTGGAGAAGAGTGTTACAACATTGATTAAAATAAATAAAAATAAATAAATTTACCATATATGACCTGTAAGCTTGTGGTGATTTAACATCATTTTCATTTTTCATTTTACTCCCACGGAGTTTGTATCACTGAATGTAATATGAAAGTTATTGTAAAAAAAAATTGGGAGAAATGATTTTTTCTGGGAACAAATTTCTATTTAGTATCAAAAAGGAAGATTCATGAAAACATAGCCCAAGATATCTATAAATCAAATATCTACTTTAGTACGTTGGGCATTAGTACCTACCTTTACAGTATTGCAATCAGTAACAACTCCAACAGTGGACAACAGGCTCACCACTTTCCCAAAGTAGGAAGTTTTCTGATTTTAAAAAAAATAGCTAAATTAGTGTAGACAAATGATAGGAAATTTGGTACATTCAAGAACGTGATAACAAATATAAGGGCAATGGTACCCTAGAAATAGTAATTAACGGAGGTAGAATAATATTGGGACCTTACATTAAAAAAAAAAAAACTGTGTAATATATAAAACATTTGAGCAATGGTCATCACATTTATGGGGCTGACAGGATATCATAGGAAAAATGTCAACCAAGAATTGAAATTCACCTCACGGAAGTGCAAATGGTAGGCTTGTAGTTTAATGTCACACCAACTGCTAATTAAGAAGAAGGCGGACTCCACCAAACTCAACTTCATTTCATTGCCATTGCATGATATTGAACATGATAGGCTTTTCAAATATTGTTCTTCCTTCCCACCGTCATCTTTAGATGATGCAACCTCCTGTAACTCAAGAATGGCCTCGTCCAAGAATGAGGCTTCACCTGTCTTGACAAACTTCAATAGAAAAATATATTAGATAAAAAAAAAAAGAAACAACCAATATTATTTTCCTAAGCATACAGCTAACTATCTTTTTTTCTTACAAGTTATAACTAGAGGATAAGGCATATTTCTTTGCTATGAAAAGTAATTAAATTTTAAATATAACATTCAAAAATAAACCACACCAACATGTAAAATATTGTACCTGCAGGTTTGCAACAAAAACAACAGGTTGTCCTGTACAAATAGTCAACAATTGCCCGAGAATTAAAGAAACAATTACATAGCATGCCTAACCTATCCTCCTACCATAGTAAATATTGCACCTGCAAGTTTTGCTCAATTTCTTCCATGGTTTGGCCTTTGGGCTATCTCAAGCCTTTCAAAGATCATTTTTTTTCATATTCAGTTAAAGAGAAAGGAAATAAATGCTTTGTTTTGTCACTTCTGTTGGAATGTTTGGCATGCCAACAGCCCTTTCTGGGGTTTTGTTATCTCAAAATAGCAGTAGCCTCCTCGGGAGTTTATCAAGTTATGTTTGGAACGGCATCAAAGAATCTTTGCAAGCAGGCTTCTTCTTAGACTAGATCGTTTTGAATCTGCTTGATTAAAGGTTTCCTAATTTTTAGTTTTTCCTTTCACTCCCTCGTGGGAGTTTGTATTTCGTGAGCATTAGTCTCTTTTCATTTCATTAATAAAAAAAATTGTTTCTGGTTCAAAAAGTAGTTAAAAATTCTTAGCAAATAACTTGTTTGACGGTGAAGAATTCAATAATCCGGTTTGTTAAAGAAAACGAGCCCTACTAATCACTTCACAGAGAAGTATACCTGGTGGAAAAGGACCCACCCGAAGATCACACTGTGTACTTCCGGAGTGATGCCTAAAGCAGACCAAGTCAATTTGAGAAGGACGAGACTGTCATCCACTTCCTATACAAAAGTAACAGGCTAATCATCATACGTTATGAGCCTTAATTTACAGCACAGGCAAAACTAAATCAAACAAAAATTAAAGAACAAATACCATAACGGGATGGCTGTCGTCAAGAACATCAAATATGCCTAAAATCAATTTCTCATATAACCTGATGTTTAAGTGATAAGCAGAGGGAGCTGGCAACTTCGACAGTACTTGTCCAATACCTGACAATACTTTAGCACGCTCAGATCGAACCATATTGATATCCCATTCCTACCATGTTCAACAATGCAGTAAATCAGATTCTTATATATGATCGATCTCAGAAGAAATTTAGAAATCTGAAGAATGAACCACTCTAAACTAGCATTTAATTCTCTGTATCTAATTAAAGTAAAAATAAATAAAAATAAAAATAAAACTGAACCTTTGTACTTCTGATCTTCACAAGAGAACTTTCACAGATTTGACGTTCAGAAGCTACAAGATTAGCAGAGTAACAGAATTCTTCCAAAAGATTGACCTAGAGATGCAGCCGCCAAACTTCATGGTTAAAGTAAGGAGAGGACTTGTATGTCCATGTAAGGTAACTCATAGTACAGAAAGTAAAAAATAGACCGGGATGTTTATATTATCGAGTTCCATAATCAATAATGTAATTGTTCATTTCTTAAAGAAGCCAGGATCCTTCTCCCGAGCAATTAACCAACAATAAAATTATGAACGAAACATTGAATTAAAGCATACTTCATCCACTTTAAGGAAAATCACAAATATAACAGTCATCACCGGTTGAGGATTATTGGGAGAAGTAGTCCCACATTGGCTAATTAAGAGAAAAATTATGGATTTATAAGCAATACTATCTCCATTCATGTGATGTATTTTGGGGAAACAAAAAATAAAGACATGAGAACTTATACTCAAAGTGGACAATATCATACCATGGTGAAGGTCCATGATTCCTCACATGGTATTATACCCTTAACTTAGGCATGTCAATAGAATCCTCAAATGTCAAGCAAAGAAATTGTGAGTCTCGAAGGTACAGTCAAAGTGACTCAAGTGTCGTACAAAGGGTGTGTACTTTGTTTGAGGGCTCTAGTGAAAGAGTCGGGCCTCAATTAAGGGGAGGTTGTTCAAAAGCTCCAGAGAAGGAGGACTCAAGGGATGCTCTATGGTGTACTTTGTTCGAAGGGAGGATTGTTGAGGATTATTGGGAGAAGTAGTCCCACATTAGCTAAGGGGAAGATCATGGGTTTATAAGAAATACTATATCTATTGATATGAAGCCTTTTGGGGAAACCAAAAGCAAAGCCATGAGAGCTTATGCTCAAAGTGGATAATGTCATACCATTGTGAAGGTCTGTGATTCCTAACAACACCCTAACGTTATAACTTCTTAATCTAATGTTGCAGTCCATGCAGTAAATAAAAAATAATCATATTCGGCTAAATTTTTTTACAACTTTTTCAAAAGTGTGAGGGGGAGGGGGGCAAGTATTTTGAAAGAAATCCACACTAATTTTACCCGTCACATAATATCAATTACATCTTCCTTCAACACTGCGAACATATTATGACACAGACCACAACCACGATCAGAAACTTTTATCTAACCTCATAACCCTACAATTTGGAATTTAAAAACCTAATAATACAATATTCTTCAACCATAGGATTTCGTAACAGCCTTGATTTGGCTATTCAACATACAGTTCAAATTAGACAACATCTGGGCAGAAAAAAGATTTTCTGGTATGTAAGAAATCTAAAAAGAAAGAATTTGTGATGCTCATGTTTCAAAGGGGTTGACAAGGATTCGTTTAAAATTACAGTACCCATTAAGCCCCTCACTTTAATGTCACCATTCCAACTTATAGTTGCAGGACCAACAGAGATGTCAATCGCTATGAAAGTATCATGCTTCTCGGAGTTTCAAATGCCCGTGTATACTACAATATATGGAATAAGTGAAGACCTAGAATGGAAGGTTGTTCAGTTCTTCTCTGTTTTTTGAATATATGGTTTCCTATAGATGTAAGATATACATACATTCTTTTTTCTCAAAAAGCAGTTCCATAAATGACCCTCTAAAGCTGCTTGATCGAAAAACGCCCAATATAAAGACAATTGGTTACACCCTACAGGATGTGCATAGTACATAATTAATAAACAGTGACGCATAAAAAATAACTAAAGAGCTTTCAGCCAATTTAACTAAGGTAAAAAATGCAATGATTTTTTCTCCAATTGTCCATAATTGATTTATTACCTGTCTGAACTTCCATTGCATATAAGCTTTCTCACTAGGAAAATCAGACCTGAAAACCCCATGCAAGAGGACCAACAAAACTTGAGGAACATTAATTTGCCCCCAGTTTCTCTTTGCATCCAATTCCATTAATCTTTTCCTCATACATGCATCAGAAATTGCTGAAATCTGGTCAAATAATATAAATTCTGAGTCCAAATCAGCAATTGACCAAGTTAATGGGGGAAGAGATAGGGAGAGAGGGAGAGGAACAGTAAGATAGATTGGAAACATGTATTAATGCATCGAGACTTCAACTGGCAATTCTAAACTTCATTGATCAGATAAAAATGAAACAACATATAAAATGAAACCATATGTATCCTGCTTTATGCTTCACTCTAGGCCAGCTTCTGACAAGACTATTACATTCACTATCTACCTTAGAATATGGGCTTTTAATCAATACATAAATAAACAACTATATGCCATAAGCTATGAGTGAATCAAAAAAGTGAAAACATTTAACTTTAAGTTAGAAACAATATATAAGAATTAGAAGACTTCTGTTAACATCTCTAGGAGAAAAGAAAATCTCACTATATGCAGCAAAATAGCTCCAATAGATCGTTAAGCTTAAGATGTATGACATCAATGTAAAAAGGAAATGGCGATAAGATCAACTTAGAGATAGAGTCTGCCTTGCCTGCATCTGGGTGCGGATAGCGTGAAGAAAATTCAAATGTCCTTCAAAATTCTCTGATTGAACATCTAGTTCATTCCTTATACTTGTCATCCCTACAGTATGTTTAATACCATTTTCTTTCTTTTTATCCTCAGATGAATAGATTTCAACCCTGGTGATGGAGAGAGAGAGAGAGAACAAACAAATGATAAAGAAGATAGATATATTTATGTTCCCCATCACTATCAGGAAAAGAAAAATGAAAAAGAGACATGAACTCAAATTCAAGTTTCCGGAAGCACAATACGTAGCAAGTATAAGCAGGACAAACTACAAAATAAATAAATAAATCTAGCATTTCCATAAGAAAAGAGCGCACCCAGAAAATGCGATTGATGCAAGCAAGATTAAATATGCTGCTTCATCCAAGTCATCATCTGTCAGTCCTTTGATCATCATAAAACTATGAATCAATTTACAAAATAAGAAATGATGGTTGGGAGGAGGGGATCTTAACTGACAAATTTAAGCATTGTTTCGGAAAACTCTTCTTATTTTTAATGGGAAAAATATGAAAGGATAAACATGTCCGTTTGCTAAGAATTTAAATGAAAATGAAATCTCGTTTCAATAGAAGAATAAAAGCATCAAATACCTGTATACAACTTAGGTAGTCCTAAAGCCGGAACTTTGAGATCCTTCACAAGTTTCGAAGGTGTGGCTGTTGTTCCATTAGACTGAGGACCACAGTCATCACTATAAGTTGCAATATTGTCATCAACTGATGACCCAAGCGACCTAGATGAACACGATATGTCACTAGAGGATCTCTCCACCATTTTAGGTGGTGGTGGCGCACGGCTAGGAGGTGATCCAGACAAATCTGGATGAGAAAGTAGAAAATAAGAAGTCCGTAGTCGAGATTGTATCTGCATTCAAAAATCAAATTGGTAAATAATGCAAGCATGCACACAGACCTCTTTTAATTCTAATAAATAAAAAAATAAATAAAAATTATTGCTTGCACATCCGAAATCAAAAACTCTAATGAAGAAAAGAAATTCTAAAACAAAGTTACTATAACTACAATACTAAGAGAAAATTGGCATGGATTACTGTTAAATCTTCATTAAAACTAATGTTCGAAATTTAAATACTTTTGGTACAAGTCGAAAGTTAATTTGTCTAAGTTGCACCTTCGCGAGGCATTTGATTGACTACCCGACTAAGTAAAGATGCTCAGGCCCAAACCCTCTGGTGTACAGACGATGAAGGCATTGTTAAATGCGATGAAGATAGTTCGAGAGAGAAATGTCCGCTGATTATCACGCAAAAGAAATCACCAGAAACTTTGGGAAAGCTCAAGTTTCAATTCAGCATTTTCAGATAGTGCATAAACTTCACAGTCCATTCAGAATTTAAATTTAAAAAATAATAAATAAATAAATAAACAGACGGAAACACTGAAACACGGAAGCATTAGCATGATTTATTTTCTCTCCATAGAGCGACGGCATAGCAGAATGTAAATCGCGGAGAAAAAGGCAAAACCAAATAACTACTGGCTAACATATTCTTACCATTATCGGGTAAGAAGATTCATGTCGCTTCTTCTTAGTAGCTGTAGAAATGTCAATAACTCCACCTAAGCAAGAAAATAACTATGAAATTAAATTCCTCACAAGTGTTCACAGTTACGTGACTCGGTCAACTAAAAAACAGAGAACGCGCTATAAAAACATGGAAAGCAGCTAGCACTCCGCCGCAGAACGGTTGACGCAAACTTTCCGATCCCAAACAAGGAAACCAAATCCATTTTACAGAAGAAAAAAAACTAATAGAACCGAGAAGAAGCTAAAGAAAATGAAATAGACTTCCAGCTTCATTCTCGAGCATTGGCTATAAAAAAAACTCGAGATTAAACCGCAAATTCGATATCAAATCTTTCATTCAAACTATAACAACTCGCACTCATCTCTCACACACAAAGAAGCAAGATTACCAGACTTAATGCACTCCAAAACATAGCTAGCGCTCAGAGAGTCAAGGTCGATGGCGGATAAATCAGTGACAGGACCTGCCGGAGTCCTCAGCTCTCTGACAAAACGCGAGGAAAGCAAGAATGCCAGCAGATTTTTCCGGTCACGAAGGTACCGCTGCAACAAAGAACCCGGCTCCATCGGCGATCACCACGACGGAAATCGAGAGGAAGAAGAAGAAACGGTAAAATCAGAGATGGAAGCAAAGCAAAGCGTGTAGAAGGAGCGCGAAATACTTAACTGTAATGAATAAAAATATAACGGCCCTTGTAAGAGAAGTCGATGATTTCACATTTTGTTATTTCGATTTTACCCCTGGAAGTTCCCTGAATTACGAAGTATGCCATTCTTTCATTAATGGTCAACGTCGAGCAGGGAGTCCAATGTCAACTTTGTGATATTTTAGAAATTGCGATCTCGGTGGGGATTATTACGGTTGTGCCCTTTGACGGGCTTAGTTTTTTAGGAGACTTCGTAAAACAATTGTTAAAAAAAAAAAAATTAAAAAATCAAGTTGTAATAAATAATTTGAAGAATATTATTGTTTTAATTTTAAAATATACTATTTTAAATTCTTAAATCAAACACCATGTGGATTGGATTTTTTTTTTTCATAACTCATAAAAGCGGGAGGAACTTATATTTTAACTCAACTCAACTCTCTATTTTTATATTGGATTGTCTAGTTGTTCTTTTAAATCCTCTCCCCAAGTACTAGTTTCTTTCCCGAGAGAGAGCTTCCAAAACGAGAGACAGTGCCCCGAGCCTCATTCATAGCTCAAAGAGTGCGTTCAAAGCAAAGGATTTGTTACTTAAATTTACTGGTAATGAGATTACAAGAGTTGAGGACTAAGGAAAAGGAGAAGAATAACAAAGGAATGCCTTGAGCAATAGTCAGGACCTTGACATCGCCATTTACACAAGCAACCAGAGCAGAGCAACTACAGCAAAGAATAATATACACAACGATAACAACACTAACAACTGCAGCCAAAGGCCCTTTCACGATTAACATAAACATAACTCAACACGTATAAACGTTCGTACACTCGCATCGAGGAGTATTTTTAAACTTCCTCTTCAGCAAGATAACTATTTTTCAAGATGTGATACTTGCAGAGAGGACATGTAGCGTTAATATACAGCCACTTATCGACGCAGGAACAGTGGAAATGGTGACCACATGGGAGCTCTCGTAGCTCGACGCCATCGTCGTATGCAGAAAGGCAGATACAGCACTCCTAAAAGGCAGGAAATGTCGTCAGTTTGAGAACAGAACAAGCGAATTCTAGTTTATAACAAAGTAAGATCCCAGCGAAGGTCGATACATGATAAGGGATGTCATACGTACCGCATCCTCCTGTGAGAGGGCGTGTTCAATGGGTGAATCTGTACCACACTCGGTCATTATACCACCGAGAGGTTGGTGTAAATCAGCAGAGAATTTCTCGGCATCGTCGACCTTTCTGAATTTAAATTTCGACAACTGTTCAACGTCTTCTTTGGTTGCTCCTTCCTGCATATAAGCATTATTATATGCATCAAGCCAGTAAAGTTGGCCTTGTAAACAAAACTAAATGGTCTTTCTGATAAGAAACCAAGATTTCATTGAGAGATGAAACAATGTACAAGGGATACAACCCAAAACTAATTACAAGAATGGATCTCAGGCCAAAAGAATGAGAGACCCACTTGGTAATTACAAAAAGTCTGATTTACGGACGCTCTATAAAGACGAGTTAAATCCGACAGACTCCGAAAGCTCCTCACCAAACCTCTCACAGACCCGCTAAACATTCTACTATTCTTGTCAAGCCAAATGCCCTCACAAAGTAGCGAGAAAAAAAAACGAGTCCTGCCACATAACTTTCCCTTTGTTGCGAAAATGATGGTTCAGAATCACCTCCTCAATCGTGGAACGACACCCTTTGTTACGAGCCATATCCACCCCGAAGATTCTGAAAAACCAACACCAAAGGGAGATAAGCAAACAGACAATCCAACAAAAGATGGTCTGGGTTCTCCTATTTCCTGCAAAGAACACACCGGTGGCCGCAACGTAAAAGAGGAGAGTCCTTGTTCATACTCCCATCTTAGATGGTTTAGGATAAAAGGTTAAATTGGCCATGCCTAGCTCAGGTCATGACTCTCTCTCTCTCGTTCGTAATAACGGAATATATTGGACCCAACCCCTTGCATCTTGAATTCATCAAGGAGGCTTCAATTACCTCGGGACGAACTACTATAAACAAGAAGGGCTTCATGCCAACACAAAGCAGAAGAATTTATAATAGTCTTGGAAAACAGCTGGTTTTATTTATCAGCAAAGTATAATCAAGGAAGAATTCTAGGGGTTCCCATTTTGCTCGACTCCCGAGTATAGCCAACGCACAAACAAGCCAAAACGTACCTTATAGAGCACTTTCCTCTCCTATTAGTACCCGTCGGCCTCCCCTTACTACAGCCCCAGAGTCTAGTTACAAAACAAAGGGTTCTACTCTCCTTTCTCACACACTTTCGCTTGTACACATTTCAAAGGGGTTTATCCATCTAATACACGAAAACGTTACATAATTAAAAGAAGATAGCTCTCGTCTCGCTCCCTTATTTTTACTTCAATGGTTTTACAATGGACATAGCAAAGGAATTTGATTAATGGTAGGCAATAATCTATACCTTTTAATGGAGGCATAAAAATATATCCTGGGACATCATACAATTACCTGGTCTGCTACAGCATACAAAAGTGCAATGATACAGGGAAGACAGCAGCAAACAGCAATCCCAATGATACATGCCAAAGCAACACAGAAAACCACAAAGAACACATCAAAGCCCAAGAATATGATACATAACCTGCAGTTCGACCCACATTAATAGAAGTTAGAATCTATGACGAGATAACCATCAACTTCAAAACCCAGTGCAAACAAGGAGTAATCACAAACCAGTAAAGCAAAGGGGAGGCGTGCGCTAAAGATCGGCCTCCTGCAGATACCCAGTAGAATCCAATAATCCACCAGATGAATGAAAAAATTGTATTTGCAGATTCAAGGTGCTTTGCTATACTGTCGTGACAGAAAAGAAAATGAATATAAGTGAGTGGCTCAATGGCGGAACGAGAGTATAGTTGATTTGCTCTTTTTGATTCAACAATGGTAGGAACAAGGGATCGAACCATCAACCTTTGAGACAGTAATAGGGTAATATTGAAAGTAAAGGAACCAGAAAAATGCAGGAGAAAACCTTTCAGCACTTTCTCATTATTGAACAGTACATAGTGCAGCCATAGATAGACAACCTAACCTGGTATCGTTATCATCCAACTGTGCCAGGGATGCATAATGGCTCGAATTTCCTCTCGGCCCCAAACCCGAAATCCCGCGCGCAGAATTTCCTTCATCCGTCGAGTTAAACGCCAAGAATCGTCGCTGTATGCGCCGATAATACTCAATACAAACACTCACCATATGGAGAATGCATTGGAGCGCATACCCCAGAATCCATAGCCTCAAAGGCTTTGTAGGAGACTCCCTGCGGCTCAGAATCAAAATGGTAGCAGCAACAACAACAAAAGCGAAATTCCACAAGATGTCAAGGATAACAACCGGCTTAGAATACGCCCAATCGTTCTGCCGCTCCTCCAATTGCTCCGCAGCCGTCTCTCGAACCAACATAGACGGCTCGCGCAACGCCCTCCGACTAGTCGCCTGCCGCAGAAACCTAGCCGCCTGATGCAGACTTTGCCTCTGCACAAATCGCCGACCAGAATGCCCATCTTCCAACGACCGGTTTGGATTCCCCATCAATGGAGTGCTATCGACGATATTATCGGACGATCCATTCGGGGACCTTGAAGACGCCATTCGAAATTCTCAAAAAAGACAAAAATCATCAATCCCTATATCCGCGAATTGACTTGCTTCATCCCGGACGGGAAACAACCGGATTGGGGAAATCTGGGAGAACGAAGAAAGAACAAATGTGAGTTGGTAATGGAAGAAATTCGCGAAAAGGGGTGGTGGGTAGCGGAAGGATTTCTGGAGCTCCGGCTAAAAATGGGGGAAGATTTTGCGATGAATCGTCTTGTTTTGGTTTATATGTAGCTCTTTGCGTGCTCGTCACCGGTGGGACACGGCCGATCGGATGAACACCACGTGTCGTGTTGTTCTGTTTGAGGAAGTGGGAATCGCTGGAGGGCGGGCTGGATCATTTACGACACGATATTCCTGACATCATGCTCTATTAACTAGATTGCTTTGAATATAGAATTTAGCTGTCCCCTAAAAACAAACAACAACTTTGTTGTGTGAGAGTGTTTGGAATTTAATTTTGACCACACTTTTTTTTCTTTTTTTGGTTCTCTTTCTTTCGGTTTATATTAAAATGACCAAAATATCCTTCACTACCTCCATGGTCGCCATTGCAACCGATTGTACTAACAAAATGTTGTTGCAAGCAATCATCATTGGTAGTTGTGGTCATTCATTGCCAATTACTCGTGACAATTGTCGTCCACTATCGCAAAAAACCACTACGAATGTCGTTACTTCATCATCAATGATTGTTTGTCAGCTTAGTATTAGAAATCATTTAAAATGTAACGATCCAGATCCACCGTTTATAGATATTGTCCTCTTTAGAGCCAGCGCCTTATTTGCACACTGCTTTGTGTCTACCTCCCTTCGGGGGACAGCGAGAAGGCTAGCACATTGTCTGGTGTCTGGCTCTGATACCATTTGTAATGACTCAGATCCACCACTAATAGATATTGTCTTCTTTGGACTTTCCCTTTCGAACTTCCACTCAAGACTTTAAAACTCGTCTTCTAGGGGAAGGTTTTCACACCTTTAATAAGGGTGGTTTGTTCTTCTCCCCAACCTAACGGGTACATCACATAAAATCACATAAAATTAAATTTTTTTAAGTTAATTCATATTATTTAATAATGAAATTTTATAGTAATCTAACATTTGAACCAACAATTTAGTGCAAGCATCAACTAAATAAACTTTTGTATATAAATGATTATGAGAGATTGTAACAAAATATTTTGAGTGATATGATATCAATTTTGACCCTGAACCGCCATGAAAAAGGTCATACTCCATTGCCAGAAGTTCATGTCACCAAGCTACGGCTTCCTACTTTTTATGGGATGAGTCATCTAAAGACAAAGGGTGTGGTGCTAGATTACAGCTAATCGAGTAAGAAGAGAAAATTTTTGAATATGCACTACAATTCAAGTTTCAGTCTTCCAATAATGAATAATGAATAGTGATGCTAGTAGGATGTTTTGATTAATTTCAATCCATTAACGTTTTGATGATAACAAACTTACTTTTAATTATTAACTACTTTAAGTATTTTGAACTGTCCACGATATAAGGTCGAGAATAACGATTACAACGACTTTTCAATTACTCAAATCATAGCTAAAACGAAAAATTAGAGTCGATACAACATACCCGACGTGATGATGTGGCAGCAAAATCAAAATGATGGACAAATCAAAATATATCAAAGTATGACATTTATAATGTTGGAAGAGTAACAAATGGTTGAGTTTTTCTCATTATTATATTTCTAAATAAAATTATTTTTACAAAATATAAATTTGAATCTAAGAGTTACTCACATCAATCTTTATTATTATTATATCATATTATTATATTATTATATTTATAATAAATTTTGAATTTTCATTTGAACTTTTCATGTAACTTTTTATTATTATTATTTAATTTAAATAAATGAATTTAGAAATTTTTCTTATTTATTTACTTTTAATCTCCACTTTCGATTATTCCTAATATAATCGAATGGTCAATATTAATTTCTACATTTTGTCACTTTCCTTCTCTTATAAACTCATGAACTTCCCCACATCTTAGACACGACTTCCATAAATTCTCCAATCCTTACTTTTGTTCAAAGTCTACATTGTTTGTTGTCAAGCTTACAAGTTTATTTCTCTTCATCTTATTCTTGAGAGAGATTATTATTGTACTGTGAGGAAATAGTTGTGAGTGTCTCAAATTGTAAATCTACTCTTTGAGAGAGTTGTGGTGTGTTATTATCAAACTCAAATACTTGTATCGGTTTATTCTTACGTCGTGGAAAGGATTGAGTTTGCTCTTGAACTCGTAAAAAGAGCGGTGTAACGGTTTGGCTCTGATCCGTGGAAAGAGTCGAGAAAGTTATTTATTCAAATTCCCAAGAGACGCTTGGGGAGTGGAGTAGGTCGAGTTCACTATAAAACTACGGTGTCATTTTCTCTAACTCTTTCCTATTTAATTTCAAAGTTATTATTGTAATTTATTGCATGTTCTACTTAATTATTGTTTTGACTTGAATTATTTTGTTCTAGTAATTATCATATTATACTTATTTATAAAAAGTTTCATCATTAAAAAAAAAAAATAATCACGTTTAAATACCTTTACCGTTAAAACTCTATTCACCCCTCTAAGGTTGCCATACCGATCCAACACGAGACCTTATTGGTCAAATTATGAGTAGTTGAGACGTTTAGAATTACCAACTTGCTTATCCTTAGCTACTCGCAACTTATTGTGAACAAGGTGGTAGAATCGTATCAAGTCAAGGAGCAACGAATGACTATTTATTTGAGGAGGGGGAGGCAAGGATTTGAGCAAGTTTGAAGGTGGGAATGGAGACAAGAAATATAAGACGGTCAATAACGGTCAATAAACTAGACTCGGTTCAAATAAAATTAAAATATATATAATTTAAATTTGAATATAATTTAATTACTTAAAAAGAAAATCATTTTTAGTAAGCTATTAAGTTATCATTTAATAATCTTGAAAGATTTTAGTTGTTTTTTATTTTATCTTTTCTTTTTTTAAATCGAAGATTTAATGATTATAACATATTTTTAGATTGATCGCAGCCAAAACTAAATTTTCAATTTTTAAAAAATTGAATAAAATCACTTTAAAAATACCCCAAGATTTATTTGGCATATGATCTCTGATTGCCACACGTGGATCAACCCACTTGTTAATTATTTAGATATATTAAAAACGATGAACGGTCTAATAAAAATACTAACGAAATCTTTGATAACTTTCATTGTAAACTTTTTAAAGCAAGTAGAAGCCATCGAAAAATGAAAATGTGAGATTCAACATTGGGAGAACAAAACATTCCTATAAACATGTGAAAACTTTTCCCTCTAAATCGAGAGAGAAGCCTACAAGAGAAAGCCCAAAAAAAAAAAATATCTACTTTGAATTATTCACTCACTGGCTAACTAATTAATTAATGAAAAATTGAAGATAGATGATGGTATTATTTAATGTTTAATAATAGATGGCCTAATACCTAACTTGAATAATAAAGAGGGTAATTTTTAATATTTTAATAGTATTTTAATGCATGTCCCAATATTATTACCTTATTAGTTATATAATTTTTTCAAAAGACTATACAGTATAATAATGAAACAATTTGAAATATTTAAATAAAGTAAATAATAATTTCTTTTATTTAAAACTTAAATTTATTACAACATTCGTTTTTTAGAGATTAAATATAATAATGGCTAATATATCCTTTATTAATTAAACTAGATTTTAGTTAATAGACAGCTAAATATATTACCCAATTTACTATTTATTCTTTTTTAGTTTTATTCTATTTCAGTTTTTATATTTTCAAATATTTAGTTACTTTTAATAAAATTTTAAAATTAGTCCATTTTTTTAATTTATCGAAATTTAATTAAATAATAATATTTTTTTATGAAAGAAAAAATACAAATTTGAAAATGTTTCAAATTTATAAATTAATTATTTAGTATTGTCAAATGTTAACATGGGAATATATATTTCTTAAAAATCGATAAAATAAAAATAAAATTTTAAAAAATATTTAAATTAATAAATAAATATTTATATTTTTTTAATAATGACCACACTGCTACCATTGAAAATCTCAACCTTGTCACTAAAAAATATAATCATTCTTCTTTCTGTCAACTCGGTACCTCGTTTTCAAACTCTATTTGAAGCTCATCTCTAATTTTAATGTCCAGAATTTGTTAATTTAAACCGAAATTTATTAATTTTAAAAATTTAACAACTTAATCTAAATTTCAAACATAAATGTAGAAAATATTAAAAACAAGGGCTTGTATTAAAAAAATTATAATTTAGGAAACGGAAAAAGAAAAAAAAAATGGCAAAGAAAGTAAATAAGCAGAAAAGAGAGGCAAAAGTGGAAATTCGTCCTCCATTTTACAAAATATTTGGCTGGAAGCTCATGTAGACTGCATTCTATTTAAGACTCGCCCCCATGTGAGCCTCGCCATCTTCCTCTGCTACTTCAAAGGATTTCCTCTCTCTTCTCTCTCAATTTCATTCTCTCGATTTCTTCGTTTTCACAGCAAAACGAGATTCGAAGGAGAGCTTTGTATCAAACTTTGGTTCTTTATTGATTTGGATAGGTTTATTTGAATTGAACGCCGAAAAGAGGTTCTGGAAATGGCCAAGAATGTGGGAATTCTCGCCGTTGATATCTACTTCCCACCTACCTGTGTTCAGCAGGTGAGGATCTCTCACTTTGAGTTGAATTTCTAGCTTTCCTTTACTTTCTGCTTGCTTTGCATTTGGCTTTGGATTGTATTTTGGTAGTGTTTGGAGAAATTCGTACACTGGGTGTAGCTTTTCGTTATTGTTTCTATGAATTGGTTTGGTTTTTCTTAATCTTGTTTAATTTTTGCTATAATCTTTGAGTTGTGTTGTTTTTGGTGATTTCCGATGTTGACCAGCGAAATTCGTCTGTTTTTGGTTTTTTGAATGCTTCGAAATGTTTCGTTCTTTCCTGCTTCGTTGTTTCCGATCGGAGATTGATTTTTTAAATTATACATTTTCACATGTACGTACATAATGTCTGTTTGTGTGGTGTGTGAGTTGGGCCACTGAAGCTTTTGAGCTCATTTCTGGGCTGAGGGACCTGACCCAATTGTTTGGTGGCTGCTTTTGAGCTCATATCTAGCACACAACATGTGCATATGTTGTTAAACAGCTCTCTTAGATTAAATTTTGTCTGTTGGTCTATTTTCCTTTTGTCTCTGTTTTTCCCCCTTTTTTGGGACTTCTTGGATCTGCATCAAGTTTTGAGAGGAAAAGTTATTTGTATTCAATCTCCGTGGATGTTATGTCCTTGACCAACAAACAATTCTAATAAGATTTTGACATCATTGTAATGTCAAAGAAGAATCGCGTCTCTAGAGCTCACTATTTGGTACCTTCACTTGTATGCTTGCTAGTGAAATTAATATGGTTTCTGCTTTGGCAACATAGGAAGCTTTGGAGGCTCATGATGGAGCAAGCAAGGGGAAATACACGATTGGGCTCGGACAGGATTGCATGGCGTTCTGTTCTGAGGTTGAAGATGTAATCTCAATGAGGTAGTGACCATATTGGCTACAATCTACTTGGTTCTGTATTCTGAAGATTGTTCTTAACATCGAAATTCTTGGATTTTCAGCTTAACAGTTGTCACCTCCCTTCTTGAGAAGTATAGAATTGACCCAAAGCAAGTTGGCCGGCTGGAAGTTGGCAGTGAGACTGTTATAGATAAAAGCAAATCAATTAAGACTTTCCTGATGCAAATTTTTGAGGTAAAAATTTTGGGTATTCCTCTTGCACTTTTTTTAAACGGAAAAAAAAAAAAATAAAATAAAAACAGGGGCCACCAAGAGTGAGGGTGAACAAAACTAAAAGTGGGGATTTTTATGTGTCTTCTATTTTATTGAAGTTATGATCTGCCAAAAAGTTTGTCATTGAAGTACGCTTTGAAATAGTTTAACGGATGAATTTTGTTGATTGGCCCCAATTGTGTGTTTTTTTTGGTGGATAGCATTTTAATAGAGTTTGCAGATTGAAAGTTAATGTTAAATACTTGTAATGATTTTCATGAGTAGCTGAACTGGCTTGTAGATGGTTACGTCTTTTGGTACTTATGAGGATGCAAATCTTAGTTTTTGTCTACTGCCTAGCTTGAATGGAATCCTTCCCTTGATAATATAAATATCGGTTCAAAGTTTATGTTTTAAGCCATTATTGATGGTACAATACTGAAGTTCTTATCTTTTCATGTAAGCAGAAACATGGAAATACCGATATTGAAGGTGTTGATTCAACTAATGCATGCTATGGGGGTACAGCTGCCCTTTTCAACTGTGTCAATTGGGTGGAGAGCAGCTCCTGGGATGGGCGTTATGGTCTTGTGGTGTGCACAGACAGTGCGGTATGATATAATCTAGGTTTATAATTTTTCAACATGGGAGATTTAAGTTTTTCTTGACATTGATTCGTTGAAATATATTGAACTAAAATTTTCTTGCCATATTTGCTGTCAAAATCTGCATTAATTACTGGTCCGTTCTGTTAGGTCTATGCTGAAGGACCAGCTCGTCCTACAGGTGGAGCTGCTGCCATTGCCATGCTGATAGGACCTGATGCTCCTATTGCTTTTGAAAGCAAGTTGAGGGGAAGTCATATGTCTCATGTTTATGATTTTTACAAGCCTAACCTAGCCAGCGAATACCCGGTAATCTTTAACATAATACATTGTAATTCATCGGTTATTTCCAACTTCTTCCTCTAGTTTCCATTATATTAAAAGATGTCTTTCTTTTGTATAAAACATTGTGCATTTTGTATAACCTGGCTTTTATAATTTACATAGTTTCTTGCTACATCTAGTGATTCATCTCTATAATGATTTACTTGCAGGTTGTAGATGGTAAGCTCTCCCAAACCTGTTACCTCATGGCCCTGGATTCTTGCTACAAACAATTATGTCACAAGTAAGTTCATATTTTGAATAAATTAATCGTCGTGCGGGTTGTACGTATTTTCTCTTACTTTCATTGCACTTTAATTAGGTATGAGAAACTGGAGGGCAAACAGTTTACCATTTCTGATTCTGACTATTTTGTATTTCATTCTCCCTATAACAAGGTAACATGTGTTAGAAATTGGTCTTATTACTTGTTAGTTTTCCCAGTAAAAGAATGAGGGAGGAGATGACTTAATGAATGAATTTCCTTTCATGTACTGCAGCTTGTGCAGAAGAGCTTTGCTCGATTGCTCTTTAACGACTTTAAGAGAAATGCGAGGTATATATGCTTCTTATGCTTCTTTGGTTGTTTCTGGTGGTTCTAGTGGATGTTTAAGTCTTTTCTTCTCTTTACAGCTCAATAGACGAAGTCGTTAAAGAAAAGTTGGCTCCGTTTTCAACCTTGTCTAACGATGAAAGTTACCAGAGTCGGGATCTTGAAAAGGTCTTATACATTTGAAAGACATCCTTTTAGCTGGTCATTTATCCTTCACTTTTTGTTAACTAATATATTGGATTTGCAGATAACTCAACAACTTGCAAAGCCACTTTATGATTCCAAGGTGCAACCCTCCACTTTAATACCAAAGCAAGTTGGAAATATGTATACTGCTTCTCTCTATGCAGCATTTATTTCGCTTCTTCACAATAAGCATAGCCTACTGGTATTCACCTTCTCTACTACCAATTTACACATTTGGCTGCTTTACTTTCACCTGTCTAAATGGTCTGTTTCTATGCCAGGCAGGAAATAGGGTCATATTGTTCTCTTATGGCAGTGGGTCAACCGCAACGATGTTCTCATTGCAAATCAATGAAGGTCAACATCCTTTTAGTCTCTCCAACGTTGCAGCTGTCTTGAATGTAGATAAAAAGTTGAAATCGAGGCATGAGGTATTTACTTCTATCTCATGTTTTCTACAAACCTAACAATTATGCTGTAGTGTAGACGGTAAATAGATCTCCTGAGAAATTGTATAGAGCGTAGTCAAGTTAACAATGTCCATTTTACCCTGAAAACGACCGTATCAAGCTCCTCCATGTATCTTGAATTCAGGCTTAGCACAATGATTAGTCTTGACAGTTTGAACTTCAGATGAACTGCACAAAAGTCGAACAACGATGTTGTCTCAATCATCATTTTGTATCCTATAACGTATGATAATATTAAGAGTAGGAATCGTTAAACCACCATTGAACTCAAAAGCTAGATCTGTGGTTCAGAGCCTTTTGATGATTTATAGAACTTTAGCATTTTATGGTTGTGCATTGTGTTGGACAATACAAATACGACATAGAGAGACGATTGCCTTATTAATCCATGGATTTTAACATCTAATTTTTGTACAGTTAGTACCGGAGAAATTTGTCGAAATAATGAAGCTGATGGAGCATCGGTACGGGGCCAAGGACTTTACGACAAACAAGGACTGCAGCCTCCTACCACCAGGCACCTACTATCTCACCAAAGTCGATTCATTGTACAGGAGATTCTACGCTAAGAAGGATGGCGAATGCGAGAAGCTTGACAATGGTGTGGTTGCCAATGGCCACTGAAATAAAAATGAGAATAAACAACAAGAGGAGTGTAGCCAAAGCTGTTCATCTAAATATTCAGTGTCAACGACCATTTTTCTTCTCATAAGCTATTTACAGGCTAAGATAGAAGGCAGTATGTTCCTAGCACAGGTAGTTTTCTGTTCTTTCCTTCTCTTTTTTATAGAAAAAATTGTCTCAATAATGGGTTGGCTTTATTTATTCAGAACATATTATGTTATTAACCTTCAACTATACTATTTTGAACCCCAACCATGAACTCGTGTAGATTCTCAAATACTGTTACTCATAGGCATATAAACAGATATATTCTCATGAGATATGTCCTATCTTCCAAACTTTATACCCTCTTTTCCACCCTTATTCTCATTCCTATGTCCTCAATCCGAACGCCTTTTATATAATACTGTTTGGAACAAGAAAACGAGGATGCGAATAAAGGTGAGAATAGATAAATATAACACAGTCACTTGTTTGGCCCTTCTATGGCCAGCTTCGTGGATGTGGCACATGAACTCCCGTCTATATTTACAGAAAAGGAGAATTGATATATGATCTATTTGAAGTAGCCAAAGATAGATGTTTGGATTTTTGTGATTTTTTTTTTTTTTTTTCTGTCCTTGAATATCAAGGACTTGAAAGGAAAAAATCTATTTGTTTTCGAATGGGTTGAGAGAGTAGATATTATTTGTGGAAAAGTGGTAATATGAAGCGGGAAGTTCTAGCTATGATGAATGTGCGGTAATAATAGATTTGATGATAGACATAGATAATCACCCTTCAATATAATTGAGGTATGTCTAACAACTCAAAGATTACCGATCAAAGTTGTTGTAAGAATCCATAATGTACACCAATGATTACAGGCAAAGAATTTCCTAAGAACAAATAGATATTCAGTGGGAATCAAATTGTAAGGTTCTCTTGGATGGCTATGAATGTTCCCAATATGTTACCACCAAGGTCTGGGAAGGTCTCAGAACCAGGAAGATGAGTGACCTTACCAGTTGGCTCAACTTGCAATGGATATTTAAGAAGATGGCTTCTCATTTCTGTCACTTCCTCAGCAACATACTGTCTCCAGTTTCTCTCACCCACTGATCTGATTCTTCTTACACATTCAATACTCTCTGGTCTCTCGAAACAATCCTCCATAGTCCCAGTGTGCTCTGCCCATAATGACATTCTATATCCATAGACCTGCAACAACAGACACGTTCCTTGTCATTAATGATTCTATTTCTGAACGAATGATGCTTGGGTTTACCCTCTTGTTGGCTCGGATACCATGAAAGGAAATCGAGAACAAGAGTTCAAAGAGAGAAAGAAAACCATTTTCGAGAGAATGTAATGGCTCAAAAGTCCACTAGCAAATATTGCCCTCTTTGGGTTTTTCCTTTCAAGCTTACCCTCAACTTTTTTAAAATGCGTATGCTAGGGAGAGGTTTCCGCACCCTTATAAAGGGTGTTTTGTTCTCCTCCTCAATCGATGTGGGATATTATAATCCACCCCCCTTTAAGGCCCAGCGTCCTCATTGACACTCGTTCCTTTCTCCAATCAATGTGGAACTCCCACCAAATCCACCCCTTTTGGGACCCATTGTCCTTACTGACACATCGCCTCGTGTCTACCCCCTAAGGGAGCAGCCTCCTCGCTAGAACATCGTCAGGTGTTTGACTCTGATATCACAGACAAACTCCACCGGTGAATCATTTTCCTCCTCTCTTTTTTTCTTCGTTCCATGCATTCCTCTTTCAAAGAAAGAAGTCAAAAAAAGAATCTAACGCTAACGCAACTTGCATGTGTTAAGCATATAGTTAGTGTTCTTTATGAGCCAGGATCAAACTCAGATTCTGAGTATGATTGGGCCTAACTGTGGTAGAACCTGGTGAGACCTCCACTTAGAGAGGGCGATATGGCTTAATGTCTTATACCATAAGGATTGAAAAAGGCAATGTAACAAGGGGCCACGCATACCACCCGTTTAAGAACCGGACGAGGATAACTAGAAGTACTCCAAGATTTATTTAGTTTTCTTGGACCCATTTATTTATTCCCTATTCTTGCAGCCAGTAATGACTCAATATAGAAAATCATAAACTTTTGAAACATACCTGACCACGTGGGCTCGAGCGTTTGCTTGACGACCAAGAATGACGAGATTGGTACGCGCCCATTGCTATTTCAGTGTCTCTAGTACCTTCAAGGGATCGCTGATTGATATTTGCAGATCCCAATATGACATATTCATCATCTACTATCATCCCTTTAGAATGGACATAGATCATAAAACGTCGACTCTTACGAACAAGTGACTGCATAACCAAAAAATGGTACATTAAGATATAGAATGGACAATTGGAGTATACTGTCAAAGTCAAGAAATTTAAAGCTTCACTCAGGAGGGTAATAACGAAGTACTTGAGCATTCTTTTCTCCATTTCCGGCTTCAATGCCATCTCTATCACTGATCACCTCACGGTTTCCAAGGCAAAAGAAATTCAAGTAGTCTTCAGGCTTATACTGTTCATGAAGTCCAACCTCCACTAAAGCTGTATATATCATTTCGTACATCATTTGCATTGTCCTACTCTGAAGAAAACAAAGAAGCACCGGTAAATAAAACTATGTATTCATATAATGAGAGTTGTGATTGGAATTATCAAGTTTTCACTTCAAAGTATGGCTTGCAGAAAACTCGATAACAGGTGGGCGGAGGGAAAATTGGATCATCTATTTTGTAACGATTAAAAAAAAACGCAGTCACCAGAAAAGAATGCGAGATTTTCGGCGAGGCACTGGAGATCTCGCGTTTTCAACCATCCACAACACTTGCAAAGAGATGCACGCAGCACAATCAATCTCACACACACTTACCTTCTAAGAACGTGAGATCTTCGGCAACTGCGTTTTATTTTTCTTTTTAGAATCGTTACATTGGTGTGTCAGTGAGGACGCTGGACCCCCAAGGGGTGGATTGTGAGATCCCACATCAATTGGAGAGGGGAGCGAAGCATTTCTTTTAAGGGTGTGGAAACCTCTCCCTAGTGGACACGTTTTAAAACCTTGAGGGGAAGCTCGAAAGGGAAACACCAAAGAGGACAATATCTGCTAACAGTGGGTTTAGGCTATTACAAACGGTATCAAAACCAGACATCCAGCGGTGTGCCAGCGAGGACGCTGGGCCTCGAAGGGGGTCGGATTGTGAGATCCCACGTCAGTGGAGGAGGGGAACGAAACATTCCTTATAAAGGTGTGGAAACCTCTCCCTAGCAGACGCGTTTTAAAATATTGAGGGAAGCTTAGAAGAGATAGCCCAAAAAGGATAATATCTACTAGCGGTGGGCTTGGGCTGTTACATATTTGTTCCTCAGTTGGGCTACCCGAAGTTAATCTTGAGACATTTTACAGTACATAGCTTCTAGAGTTGGGGCGTTTTCCGCTCGTTCTTATGCAACCATGGGGAGATCTATCTCCTCATTTTCTTTTTTTCTTTTTGTTTTACTTCTTTTTGTGTTGGTTTTGGTTTACAATTAAGAAAAAGAAAGAACATAAAAAATAAGATAAACTAGTTTCAAAACAAAGACTTGAGAAGCTAACAAGAAACAATAGATGAAGCAAACCTGCCAAAAGAGAATTCTTTGAATCGGAGTGCTTGTAGGAACACCTTCTGGCCACATTGGGATAACCACATACGCTGAAAACCTTTCTTTAGCTCTGATTTTCTCCACAATTTTAAGGGCAATTTCAATCGGTATTAAGTTATTAGCCCCTGCAATTATGTAAACTTTTTGTTACTTGAAGAATCCAAAAGAAATAAATAATAAAAACATATAGCTATCCAATAAACTTTCGGGCTTCTCCTAAAGATTTTAAAACGCGTTCACTAGAGAGATGTTTTCACACCCTTAAAAGGAATGCTTCGTTTCCCTCTTCAACCGATGTGGGATCTCATAATCCACCTCCCTTGGAGGCCCAGCATCCTCGCTGGCACACCGCTTAGTGTCTGACTCTAATATTATTTGTAACAACTCAAGTCCACCACTAGCCGATATTGTTCTCTTTAGGCTTTCCCTTCTGGGCTTTCTCTCAAGGTTTTAAAACGCATCCACTAGGGAGAGGTTTCCACACCCTTAAAAGGAATGCTTCGTTCCCCTCTCCAACCGATGTGAGACCTTACACTAAGTGCCCAAGGTTTGAACTTATTCTCCTATAATACCTTTACTTCCCCCAAATTCTTCATCTCAGAGTTCAGAGTTAGCTTACCCAAGTCTTTATGAGCGCTCCAATTATAAGATGACCCAAGAAAGTATTGATTTTCAATATAAATGAAGCGTTGGGCAGCACGAATTGCATTAACATATGCTGAATGTATACTCATATCTATCATCACATTCTTCCCACATACCAAGTTCTGCATCAACATGGAAAACAAAAGCTCAGTTTCTGTAAGACAATTTTGGAAAGTAATCAAGTACTTGCAGTTTTTCTCTTACCCTACTTATAGCATCTTTCGGGTCCTCAGGAAATCCTTTCACCGAATTCGAGTCGATCGAACGAAAAATCTGCAAGATCATCAAGTGTTTTACTGATTCAGTGACATCCATTAATACAAAACAGCAATCATAGAAATGAAGTTCTTAAATTTGTAATGATCAATTGCTTTTAACTCTACCTGCACGTTCCAACCTTCTGGATCATTGTTACACAAACGAGCAGCATCAGCAATTCCCAAAATCTCAGGAATTCTTTCAATTTTGAGCAATACATCTTCATTCAACCTTTTTAGCTTTTTAAGGCCACGAGGCTCTGAAGCTCTCAACCAACGCTCCTCGAAATTCGTTAGGACGTCGTATGCTGCTGGACCATCAATCTTAGAGTGCAAATCATGCCATGGTTCTCTTGGACAACCAGTAGCTGGTCCCTGTTTGCACAAACGTTAAGAGTAGTTCATAGATGAGTTCCATGAAAAGATTATGTTCATGGCATCATTAACTAAAAGCACATGAACGTCTAAACTAATTCTAGAGTATCATACTTTGAACGAAGCCAAGAAATGTATACTGGTTTTAGAAGCGTATGCAGTTTGGTATTGCATGACAGTGATGCAAGTGCATGTGTTTTGTTCATTATGAAATTACCAAGAAACTAGATAAAATGGGGAAACAATATCGATCATTTTCGATCGAACACCTACCGTAAAATTGGGGTTGTGGAAGTCATCCACGTGCGTAGTTTGCAATGTCCGAAAAAGAGGATGCCTCGAAGTATCATATCGACCTAAACATAAATCGAGGCCTCCAACAAAAGCTACAATTTTTCTTTTGTGGTGGCCAGCATCAGCATCTACAATAACTGTCTTTTGATGGTGGGTATAGATGGTTCCAGCTTCCTGTTGAGGAGAATCAAGGGGTATAGAGGAACAAGATTATACATTACATTTATAGACACCAAAAGATGATTAAAAATGGTGGAGAAAGGATTGAGTTCTGAATGTTTCTTGATAATATCAAAATGGCAAAAAAAGGAGATTGAATTGTGTACAAAGGGAGCTTCCCCTTGCAATGGCAGTGAATAATAAAATTCCATAATTCCTAACCTGCTTTTTAATCCAGCTATGACCTTTTCCACCAGATCGTGGGCACAATACCACTTGGACTGAAGAGTTCTTAAAGAACCGCCGAGTCTCCTCATCATTTGTATTCATCATCCCAACCTGCACATGTCACAAAAAATGTAAGATCCCACATCGAAAACCTCTCTTTAGCAGATGCGTTTTAAAAACCTTGAGAGGAAGCCCGAAAGAGAAAACTCAAAGAGGACAATATATGTTAACAGTGGGCTTGGGCCGTTACAAATGGTATAAGAGGTAGACACTAGGTGAAATATCAGCAAGGACATTGGGTTTCGAAGGGGGTGGATTGGGGGGTCCCACATCGATTGGAGAAGGAAACGAGTGCCAGTGAGGATGATGGCCCTGAAGGGGGGTGGGTTGTGAGATCCCATATGGTTTGGAGAGGAGAACGAAACATTTTTTATAAGGTCGTGGAAACCTCTCCACGCTGGCCCTGAAGGGGGGTGGGTTGTGAGATCCCATATAGTTTGAGGAGGAGAACGAAACATTCTTTATAAAAGTGTGGAAACCTCTCCACGCTGGGCCCTGAAGAGGGTGGGTTGTGAGATCCCATATCGTTTGAGGAGGAGAACGAAGCATTGTTTATAAGTATGTAGAAACTTCTCCCTAGTAGATGCGTTTTAAAAACCTTGAGGAAAAAATCCAAAGAAGAAAATATTTGATAGCAATGGACTTGGGCCGTTACATATATCCTTAAAACGGATTGATTAGTCACCCAAAAAGAAAAAGGAAAAAAAAAAACACCATGAAAGATTAGTCACCAGATATCTGCAGTGCATAACCAGCAAGTATTATCATGGGAAATATCCATGTCCAGTAAAAGCCATAAAGAACAATAGAAACATACAGAGTTCACATGTTTTTCAGTTACATACCGTTTTATATCCCAACATACTTGTCGAAGTTGGATCATCCCATATAAGAAGCAACACTCGTACACCTTCTTGAGACTTAGCTTTGAGTAAGTCCCCTAAACTGCATTCTTTCGCCTTTCCATCTCTAACCAATCTAACATTATGGTATACAGACCAGCCCGTAATATAGATCAAACGACGAGCTTTGCTAATCGATTCAGTGATGTCGTCCCAACAGCTCCTATGTTCATATTCAACCCCACCATGAAGCTTAAAATCTGAAGGAAGACATCCATCCTCAACATGAGCATCTTGGTACAATGTAACTTTACCTCCCTTCCTAAGAGGAAAATATGTGCCAGGAACTCCCTGATGATCAGAAGATGCATACATTCCACCGTGAAAAATGGCCGCCCGGTCTGCCGGAATATACCGAATCGACAAACTCAAGACAGCCCCAGGCTTGCAGGGCTTCCTGCTACTATTAAGGATAGGGTAGGTACCCTCAACTACATCTCCAGAGTATAATTGTTCAATAGGAATAGCAACAACACCTATAATTTGTGATCCCACAACATCATGATCTTTAACTACAAAGTGCACTTCAGCACCATAATGAGCTACAGGAACATTAAAATGCTGCATCCAAACAGGATTTTCACTATTATCAATCACAAAAGTTCTTCCTATCACAGCACCAGATACAGAGATAGTCACATAAGGATCACTAGTCACTTTTGGAGCCTTTTGCCCATCACTGTTCTTAGAACTCTTAAAAGACACTTTTGAAAGAACATCCCCAAGAGTCTTATGAAACATATCCATGTTAGGAAGATTCTTGGCTGACTTGACAGAAATATCCAAATAACCATGCAAGAGCAAGAACTTCAATGATGCATTTCCAGATGAAAATGGCAAAGATTGATTACTTTGACCATGTTGTGACCCAAATGACAAAGTTTCAAAAATCCGACCAGCCATTAACAGAGAAGAAACAGTAGATAGATAGCTCAAAAGCAAAATCTTAAACCAAGCTCAACAAACAGATATCAATAATTTCAAGCAAGCAAACAGGGCATATAAAAGATTTCGAACAAAACTGAATCTGGGTTTGCGTTGAAGATGAATATTGTTGACTACTTGCCTCAGAATTAGCAAATGGCCGTGTGGATCGGCTGATCCTTTAAATAAAGAACATAGTATATTGACTGGAACTTCAAAAATGGGCGATTTCAGGAAGCTAAGCAACATGATTGGGTGGCTTGAACCTACAAACAACGACACTTGCGAGGAAGGAGAGATCGGGATTAAAAAAATGGATTGTAGTGAACAATAGGGTTGACCAAGGATCAAATCCACCAAGAAAAGTCGCCCACTGTCGAGCAGCCGACCCCTTTAACAAATATTAAGCTCAAATCGTTGAAAACTAAAGTTTGTTAATCATGTTTAAAATCTATACAAGTTTATTAGAAGGGCATTGAAATTTGAGAAATTAATTAAAAAGTTTTGAAGGAATTAAATGGTAATTTTAAAAATTTTATATAAAGATTATGGGAAAGTGAGTCAAACAAGTGAAGATGTAAGCCGCCATTGGAAGGAGACTCCAATGGGGCAGCTGCTAATGAAATAATCCAACTTGGAAGCTCCGCAGCCTGCGCCTGCGCCTGCCCTGCCTACCAATCCCAACTTTTGCACTTTGCAGCCGTCCGCCATCAATCACAAGTTTCTTCAAATTTTGAAACTTTTAATTTTCTCCCCTCTTCCTCCCGATTGGCCAAAGACTCGCCAATAATTTATAAGAGTTTTTGGAAGCAATATAGTTTTGTCCGTCGTCGTCGGTCCTACTTATCTAACACGTAAAAAAATATCATTCACTCCTTCCTTCATTTTCCGTCTAAATTTAATGAGAAATTTTCTCCTTACTCGAGATGGATAGAATGGACATCTATAATTGTAATTATGTATCTAAAAAAGACGGGGTGTGGAGATATGTTTTTAAAAGAAAATTGATGGTAGAATATTAGCACAAGACGACATTAATTGATTTCAAGACGTTAGAAAGGAATCTTAGTCTAAATAATTATTTTGTTTTTATTTACGAAAATTAGTTGAATGGCTATTCTTCATAAATATCTTATTTAAAAAAAAATAGCTAAAAAGAAAATTTTGTGATCAACATGCTAATTTCATTAAAAATAAATATTAAATTATAAGTTTAGTTAGTTAAAATATATATAATATATTCAAGTTTTTATCTAATAAATTCCCTAATTTTAAAAATATCTATTAAGTTTATTAACAAGTTGACTTATTCAATTTTAAAAAAGAATTAACTAATTTAATAAATATAAAATTAAACTTTTTTTTTATAAAAGAACACTAAAACTTTAATTTTGTTTAGTAGAACATGAATTTTATAAATATAGAATAAGTCAAAAACAAATAACAAATAACGAAAGCTTAAAGAACTTTTTAGACATATTTTCAGGAACTATACTCAAGACGTGTATTATACGGCTCCATCCAGAGTTTCCATTGTTGGGCCTTGCTATTGAACAAATATCTATGCATGTATTTTTAACATTGGACTCTTAAAATTTTTCTAAATCATATGATTGGAGGGTTTTAGCATTTGTGATCTAAGGGTTGGCTAGAGCTACTGTAACAGTCTAAGTCCATCGCTAGCAGATATTATCCGTTTTAGCCTGTTACGTAGCGTCGTCAGCTTCACGTTTCTAAAACGTGTCTGCAAGGGAGAGGTTTCCACACCCTTATAAGAAATATTTTGTTTCCCTCTCTAACCGATGTGGGATCTCACAATTCACCCATTTGGGAGCTAGCGTCCTTAGTACCCAACTCCTTGTCCCAAATAAGGGTTTGGATTTGGATGTACGTCAACCCCCTTTGAAAGTTATGCCAAGCTATTTCTAAGTGTGGGCATTGATTTCTTCCTTAACCCTCCAATTTTTTCTTACCTCTCTACCTGGTATACTTTTTTGACAGTTGGGCATCAAATCTCATACATTAAAAATAACCAAGAAACTGTAGAAACAGCCTAGTATCAGTATTATAATGTGTCCAGGCTAGCTGAACTAAGAGGTGTAAATAAAACAAATAAGAACTTTTAAACACAGAGGGCCAACAATGAACTTTAAAAGCAGCAAACGACTCGACCTAACAACAACAATCCAGCTAGTAGATATTGTCCTTTTTGGGCAGTAGATACTCTTCTCCACAATCGATGTGGGACCCCCCATCGGGGCCAGCGTCTTTGCTACCACGCCACCTTGTGTCCACCCCATCGGGGCTCAGCCTCCTCGCTAGCACATCGCTCGTTGTCTGGCTCTGGTACCATTTGTAATAACTCAAGCTCAATGCAAGTAGAGATATTGTCCTCTTTTTTTAAGTTTTTCTTTTCGAGGTTCCCCTCAAGATTTTTAAAACAGGTATGCTAGGGGAGAGGTTTCCACACCCTTATAAAAAAAAAATGTTTCGTTCTCCTCTCCAACTGATATGGGTTCTCACGATAAGCTCTTACAATTAAAGTATCAGAAAGAGACCCAATGACAAACCCAGAAATGATAGCAGAATTTAGATACTATGCTGGAATGAGTTGTGAAAACTGATGACTTTGAAGATGCATATTAGTAGTTAGTTGGGTCAAAAGATGTGAATGTTTATGGAAATAATAGATTTCAAGCCTCATCCAGTTTGCAATCCTCATAATGAAGCCTCACCCAAGTCCCCACGCACATTTAAACCATAGAATGGACTAGTCAACTCGGTCACAAAAAGGCTATGAATGTTCACCAAATCCAAGCTAAAGTTTTGAAAAAAATTAGTTTAGATTTTTGGAATATAACTAAGAATTCAAGATGAAAATATTCAGTGCGAAACTAAACACAATTTACAAAAACTAAAAGCTTCTTAATAACCATCAAAGGGGTCCAATCTCAAGAATCACAACAGAAGTTGCTCCATTGAATATTACAGTATCAAAAGATACTGAAATCTTGGTTAAAATGAACGTCAATTCTGTAGACGTTTCCATGAACTTGCTTCTAATATGCAAGGTACAGGATTCTAAGAACAAATGTGAATGTGATGGTGAGGGTTGAAAATTCGCCCTATAACAAATAAGGTCATTAATGCTTTTGAAGTAGTTAGCTATGAATCTTGTTGCTATTTCTACAATCTCAATTATAAATCACAGGAGATTTTGTTAAGAGTATCTTACGCAGCGGAGGCTCATTGGAAGCATTTCCAGATCGGAGTCTGTCCGAAATTCTTGCGATGTTGTTTCTCCGCTACAACCATCTTGTTTTTCCTTTTCTTCTCATCAATTTTGTTTTCATCAGCCATCAGTTGATTGAAGCTCAAACCCTAATCGACCCTGCTTTTGACCAATCCCTTTCTCCCTTCGGCTCACAGGCAGGCAGAGGAAGTTTCTTGGGCCGCTGCATTGAGAATGACGACGGCGCCACTTTCACTGTGCGGAACAACTGCTCCTTCACAGTCTGGGCCGCCGCCATACCAAGCGGTGGCCAACGGCTCCACAGCGGAGAGGCTTGGAACTTGAAATTACCATTCGGAGCTGTGGGACGCGTTTGGGGCAGAACCAATTGTTCCTTCGATAGCTCAGAGCGTGGAAATTGCGAGACCGGCGACTGCGGCGGCGTTCTCCAATGCCAAAGCTCCGGCGCACCGCCCAATACTCTCGTTGATTTTGCACTAAACCAATACAACAATCAGGATTTCTTCCGCGTCTCCCTCGTCGAAGGGTTCAATATTCCAATCGAATTTAAGCCGACGTCTAACGAATGCAGCCAGAGCGTTCGTTGCGCTGCCGACATCAACAAGCAATGCCCGACGAAGCTGAAGGCGGCCGGCGGCTGCAACAATCCCTGCACCGTATTCGGAACCAGTGAATATTGTTGCGGTAATTCTTCAAGGAGTTGTGAGGCCACAGCGTTTTCGAAGTTTTTCAAAGAGAGGTGTCCAGATGCTCTTAGTTACCCCGCGGACGATACGGCTACAAAATTTACGTGTCTTGGCAAGACTAATTACGACGTCGTTTTCTGCCCCTTCCGACCCTAAGATGAGGATCCATGCCACGTGTAAATTTATTTTTTAAAGTATTTCATAAAAATTTAATTTAGTTTTTAAATATTCTAAAAAGATTTAATTTTTTTTGTTATAATTGTTGGATGATGAAAGTCCCACATCGGCTAATTTAGGGAATGATCATGGGTTTATAAGTGAGGAATACTAACTCAATTGGTATGAGGCCTTTTGGGAAGCCCAAAGCAAAGCCATGAGAGCTTATGCTCAAAGTGGACAATATCATACCATTGTGGAAAGTCGTGTTCGTCTAACATGGTATCAGAGTCATGCCTTAAACTTAGCCGTGCCAATAGATTGACAAATCCTTAAATGTCGAACAAAGGACTCCAAAAGGAGGCTCTCGAATGTACGAAGGCAGTCAAAAATGACTAAGAACAAAGGACTCCAAAAGGAGGCTCTCGAATGTACGAAGGCAGTCAAAAATGACTAAGACTCCAAAGGAGGCGCTTATGCTCAAAGTGGACAATATCATACCAAAATGACTAAGACTCCAAAGGAGGCCTTCCCAAAGCGACTAAGACTCCAAAGGAGGAGGCCTCCCATGGACAATATCATACCATTGTGGGGAGTCGTGTTCGTCTAACACTAATATCATTTATAATAGCTTAAATTCCTACTCAGTCATGGTCAGTCTTTGTCCATTATATATATATATATATATATATATAATTGTCAACTTCACAATTTGATTACAATATCTTATAAGGTCAATGTTCAATGATTGCCAATTTCCAGAACGTCTTCTTCCCCAAATCCCAGCGCTGCGATGTCGTGTGCGCGCTACAAACATCTCCTTTTCTCGATTCTCCTCCTCGATTTTACTTTCACCAATCAATTCATCCAAGCTCAAACCCTAATCGGCCCTAATTTTGACGAAGCGCTTCTGCCCTTCGGTTCACACGCAATCACCGGCACTCTATCCACCCACTGCAATCGCCACGAATTCGACGGTACTATCCCTTTCACTTTGCGTAACAACTGCCCCTTCACAGTTTGGGCCGCCGCCATACCAGGCGGTGGCCGACAGCTCCAAACCAACGAGGCTTGGGTTATCAACGTACCCTCCGGCACGACAGGAGGTCGCATTTGGGGCAGAACAAACTGTTCCTTCGACAAATCTGGCCGTGGAAATTGCCAGACCGGAGATTGCGGCGGCGTTCTTCAGTGCGTAACCTTCGGTTCCCCACCCAATACTCTTGCTGAATTTTCACTTGACCAAGTTAACCATCTGGATTTCTTCGACGTATCTCTCGTCGACGGGTTTAATATCCCGATGGAATTCACACCGACGTCTAACGGATGCAGCAGGGGCGTCCGTTGCGCCGCCGATATCAACGGGCAGTGCCCTAAGGTGTTGAAGGTGGCCGGCGGCTGTAACAATCCGTGCACAGTGTTCAAGACCGATGAGTATTGTTGCAGTAATGCTTCCACGAGTTGTAAGCCCACAAATTATTCGAAGTTTTTCAAAGGTCAGTGTCCGGATGCTTACAGCTACCCCATGGATAATGCAAACAGCACATTTACTTGTCCTGGCGCTGGCGCGACTAACTACGCCGTCGTGTTCTGCCCCTCCTAGAGCTGGTGAGTCACTATCATTTTGTTTTGTTTTATTGGTATTCCTTCCTGCTTAGATTGTTTTATAATCTTGTCATGAGTGCATATAAACATGTTCTGAATGCATTTATAGAAATCCCCAATAGGTAAAGAACCCATCAAAGAAACTGATGTCTGGATTCTGATGAAAACCTTTAGCTACTAACAATCCTTGTGACATTGAATAGAGCCCATCTGGATTTACCTTAGTCTAAAACACCCATTTATGGAACGAGGCTCTATGTATGGTTCTTCATCAAGGCCGAGATTTCTGCACCCATAGGTGTTAGAGGATTGTTGGGAGGGAGTGCCACATTGGCTAATTAAGAGGGCGATCATAGGTTTATAAGTTAGTAAGGAATACATCTTCACTAGTACAAGGCCTTTTGGGGAAATCAAAGGGCAAAGTGGACAATATCTTACCATTATGGAGATTCGTGAAAGGGGAATCACAGTCTCCACAATGGTATGATATTGTCCACTTTGAGCATAAGCTCTCATGACTTTGCTTTGGGCTTCCCTAGAAGACCTCATACCAATGGAGATGTATTCCCCAAGTGGGCTTAACTTTCGGCTTAAAAACACCAACTTTCTCTCGAGTAATCATAGGATGAGCTAGTTGACATGAAGGTAATGGAGCGAGAGATGAATATCCGTGTTAGATGAATTGAGGCATTTATGCCGATTGTGAGTTGGGCTTGAGACTAAGTATACGCACTTGTTGCTACAAAACTGAAGCTTATGTGTATTATACGGTTGTTAGTATGAAAAACACATACAACCAAAACTAAGTAAAGCTGAAAGAATCCAAGGATTATTGAAACAGTACCTGGATTGGTGACTTTCCTCCTAGAATTGCAGCAGCCATCCCACCAATAAGTTAACAACATGGAAGCTCGACCAAGCAATGTAGGACTGGTTTCGACAATATGTCGATGTTTCTTCTCAGCTTGTCCATTTTGTGCCCGACGTACATGGACAAGAAAATTGAAACTTTATGCCCAACTTTTACCGCATTGTCGTTCAACGTGTAGGAAGTCGTTGAACCAGTGGTTATCAATATAAACAAAATCAGAGAAGGAAGAGTACTCGTGAGCTTTAGTAGCTGGACATTCATGAAATCCATCGGTTATCTTTGCGTGAATGTGCCAAACAGAAGTGTGTACTCTTGGACATCTTGATTGGAGTAGTTGGATGTCTTCAAGAGTGCGAGTTAAACAAGAGTGTGAGTTAGACTTCTACTCTAAGGCTTGACTTAGGCTCTTTTGTTGCACTTATTTCCATGGCGTAAGCATATTATTCAATGAAGTATATCATTTGAATCTTTTTCCTGCTTCTATTTGGTCAATCCATAACAAATAGTATTATGCTTTAAGTACTAAAATGGTTGAGGTATGTGAAAAAACTCCACATGAGGGAGAATGAACATGTTTTACTCGGTTATTTTCGGGATAACTCAACCACCTCCGAAATAAAACGAGGTGGTGACTATTGAACAAACTTAGTACGTAGGAATGTAGCTAGATTTGTTTTCAAAGCATTACATCGGAAGGGTAATGCCCATTGATCATTTTGTATAGGTTCAGGATAACTCAACCACTTACAAGTTAAATCGAGGAGGTGACTATTGGACAAACTTAACACGTAGGAATGTAACTAGGTTTGTTTGCAAAGTGTTACATTGGAAGGGTAATGTCTGTTGATCCTTTTGTGTAGGTTCAAGATAACTCAACACTTCCGAACTAAATCAAGATGGTGACTATTGAACAAACTTAGCATGTAGGAATGTAGCTAGGTTTGTTCGCAAAGCGTTGCATCGAAAGGGTAATGCCCGTTGATCCTTTTGCGTTCAGGATAACTCAACACTTCCGAACTACATCGAGATAATGACTATTGCACAAATTTAACACGCAGGAATGTAACTAGATTTGTTTGCAAAGCATTACATTGAAAGGTTATTGCATGTTTGTTTTTTTAATGTACTAGGATCTTTTATAAATAATATTTTTTAACATCTAATATATTAAAATATATATTTTATTCAAATTATACTTAAATATCATAAAATATTTCAATGGGGTTTCAATTAATTTGATTTTTATTCCAATTTCAAATATATTTTTGTATAATATATCTAATATATTTAATTATTTTAATATTTAATATATTAATTACAATAAATATTTTTCTTTTATATTTAATTAATCTAATCATTAATTTTTTTTAAATTAAATAAATCATTTTAGTGTTACTATTGATACTAGTAAAGAGAACTTAAGGTCCGTTCAAATAATATAAAATTAATTAATTAAACTCTTTAATTAATCAATTTTTATTCATTAACTATTGATCACTCTATTATAGATCTAGAGTTTCACTCGGATGTACTATATGATAGGTTGTGTCTAATAATATAATCATTACAAATAAGTTGATATTTCATAATTTGTTTGTACTTATAACTGGTTAAACGTTCATTTTACCCATATAATTACATTTTATACCTTATGATCTCGTAATGAATAATTAATTTATGATCTAACCATAAACTAAGTCCTTCACGTGCTATTGAGAGGGTGGAACTCTATTATTCATCTCAAAATTAGCACACAAGGGAATTACTCATCTACTTACCCCTAAATGGAAATGAGTGGATTTCATCTCTTGAAATTATGTTTCAATTTCTCATTTGATTAAAATTTTAAAATTGTAGACATTGAATTCGTCTACAAAAATTATTCTCACTAGTCAAAGGACAAGCTTTCACGGGCCGGAGTTCCTAACTCATTCAAGATTAAAATGAGTCTCTCATGATCATCATGTGAAATATTAATCTTCTCAATTAACTTATTTATAATGAAAAATTAAATATTTCATAATCCGGTCTTATACAAACTTATTTTACACGATACTTTTACTCACATTTCTCCACATTAAATGTTTAATTTGTTACAAAGGGTGTCAATATCAACGGTATTACCGGATAAGACACTCAATCTTATTCATATACTATAGACCCTTTAGATCTTTTCATATGTCAACCACGTACTCTTAACAATTATACTAATAATTTTGAATTTGGCATACAATGGATAATATTAATAATTATTTTAAAAAATAATTAATTAATTACACGATTTTAAAACATAGATCTCAATGTTGCGCACACACCTTTTCAACCTCTCTTCCTATACCATTTTCATTCCATCCATGTCACACAAAGAATCATACATTTAGAATAGTAACATTCGTATCAAGCTAGCTGGAATGACCAAGAATTGATCGGACAAAATCTTTAACCAATCAATTTTTTCATTAACCCAAGGTGACTCGACTATAGATTACGAATTGCACTCTCATGTAAGGTAGAGAAATCATGTCCACTGATACAACTATAAATGCTCATATGACCATTCACGAAACGATTTATAGTTCCAATTCGACAAAATTCTCATTATACCCCTAGTTTCATTCCTCACTCCTTTAAGCCTCAAAGTTCTCTATTGAATCTACCACAATTTCACCGGGGGAAAATTGTTTATACAGTGAACGAATTCCATCTTGTATAGGAATGTTTTGAACTTTGTAATTGAACGTGCTTTCAAAATAAAAAACTTATTGGATAAACATTCATATCACACGTAAATTAAAGAACATACTAAGCATATATTGAAAATTACAACATACTCAAAATTCAAATGAAACTATACATATGATAAGTTTAATTAATGGGCCATTGCATTTTCTTTAAAGGCCTTACAAGAAAACTATCAAACATATTGTGGTCGATCTTATACTATTTCATTGGATACGAAAAAAATAACAAATAATAAGAAAAATATAGAATAAATATTGTATTATGATAATTAGAAGGAAAAAAAAAAAAGTAGCTGATCTATGTTATCATGCATCATATACATATATATATATATATGTATATATGTATATATATATATATATTATTTTGGCGCATATTTTACATACTTGCCAGCACGTAGTAGACCTTTATTATAAATAATAAATAAACCGACCAACAAAAAACTTATTATTATTTATTTATAAACAGCTGAAATTCCCATGACCAATAATATTTAAGAAAATTGTAAATGGGTTTGCAAATATAATAATTTAAAAAAAAATTAAAGTTTTTTTTAATAATAATAATAAATAAATAATGAAAAAGAAAAATAAGATTTAAGAATTTCGTAATCTGAAAAAATAATAATTTTACAAATATATTTAAATCACAGTCGGCGATTTTAAAATAAAATGTTATCAAAATAAAATAATAAATAAATAAATCCAACCGTTGACTCTCCCGAAAGAAAGGAATTTTAGAATTTTCAGAAATTGTATTATTTTAAATGATCACATTAAAAACTGAATTCTTAGATGATTTTTTTTATTTATTTAATTGGGAATTGAAGTCAATTTCTAACTTTTTTAAAATATAAAAAATAAAAGTCCATTTATATTTATGGTGGTGTATATATATGTATAATATTGAGACAATCTATATATATATATATATATATATATATATATATATATATATATAATTTATTTAATTATTTACAATGAATTCTTAATTTTCTAACCACAAAAATAATTTTAAAATGATTTTCTAACCACAAAAATAATTTTAAAATGTAAATATTATATACGTCAATTATAATAAGGGATAATGATAAATTCGCTCAGTTATCATGAAATATTATATTATATTTTTTTAATAAAATTATTACGTACTTGAAATTTGTACGTCCTGTCGGGAATTAAAATAATGTTAAAATGTACAAGTACATCCAATTTCTAACAACTCTAAAACATTACTTGACTTTTGTAATTAAAAAAAATAATAATTATTATAAAATAAAATAAAAAAGAATTATTTGACTTTGAGTTGCTAAGCTGATGATTGTGAGTGCGGGTCACGAAAAGCCAATTATTTAGCTTTGAACCTAATCGGTTTAACACGTTATAAAAAGGAACCAACATAGAACTCAAGGCAGGCAATTTCACAACTTTGTTACAAACTCTTCTAAAGCAATGGCTTCCTACTTCCCTCGTCCGAGCTTTGTCGCCATTGTCGTCGTTTTCGTTTTGCCGCTTATGATGCCTGGGATCACAATTAGACCGGTGCTCGCCATCTTTCGACCGAGCCCTTGGAAGATTGCTCATGCTACCTTTTATGGTGACGAGACAGCATCGGAAACAATGGGTATGTAAACCTCTATCTCATGATAATAACGGTAATTTAATAGTTAAGGATGTTTTGTATTGATAGTACGGATTTGCATTTCAGGAGGAGCTTGTGGATATGGAAACCTCTTCACGAATGGCTATGGCATCGACACAGTGGCTTTAAGCTCAACACTCTTCAATAATGGCTACGCTTGTGGAACTTGCTTTCAAATCAAATGCATGCAATCCAAAGCTTGTTACGCTAATGTTGCTTTCACAACGGTGACGGCCACCAATCTCTGCCCTCCCAATTGGTCTAAACCCTCCGACAACGGTGGCTGGTGCAACCCTCCGAGGGTTCACTTCGACATGTCGAAACCCGCCTTTATGAAGATTGCCAACTGGAAGGCCGGGATCATTCCCGTTGCGTACCGTCGTGTTCCATGCATAAAAAAAGATGGCATTCGATTCACACTCCAAGGAAATGGGTACTGGCTTTTGGCGTATGTGATGAATGTCGGGGGCGGAGGGGACGTGTCCGGGATGTGGGTGAAAGGAAGCAAGACAGGGTGGATTAGAATGAGCCATAATTGGGGAGCTTCATATCAAGCATTTTCCACGTTGGTTGGACAATCACTGTCTTTTATAGTCACCTCGTACACCACCAAAGAGACCATCACGGCTTGGAATGTTGCTCCTTCTAATTGGAAGTTTGGCGCGACCTACAAAGCTAACGTCAACTTCCGTTGATGTCGAGAAGTTACTGGTTGATAGTTTTACACTGTTGAATATGAGACGGTGTAAAGACTAACAACTACAATGTGAAGGCGGAATAATTTTTTTTTCTATGTGAGGTGTTTCGGCTCGAATAATTTAAGTCAAACCGACTGAAATACCCTTTAACTTTATGGTCAACTCGGAGCTTTTTTGTTTTAAAAGCCGGGTTGGCTGGTTGTCGTTTTATATATTTGAAAATTTTGTGTTATTTGCTTATAGGCAACTCCATCTTGTAAAGAATGGTATTTTCTATGTAAAAATAAATTAAATTAAATTAAATTTCATATATTACGAATAGTTACTAATTGACACGAAATTTTCAAAAAAAATACAATAATTTAAAGTGTAAAACAAAACAAGTTCATACAAGGACGTTGTTCACAAAATACACTATCAAGACATTCCATGAAATCATAAAATTCGAAAAAGTCAAGACATTGACCTATCTCGACCTTTATAGCTCCACAACTAGTGCACGCCCTCACCTCGACTGCACAACCCAACTTTCTTCTAAATCGAAAGAGTGTAACATGAATGAGTATATAATACTCAGTAAGTTGTTTACTTATAGGTCATTAGTTCGTTTTTAAGTCTTATGTCCTTCGTAATAAGTTAGATGTCTCATCTCTGAGTCGTAGGCTCTCTTAGACTATCATCTCTATTCAATTGGAATCACCCAAGCCCAACATAGGGTTTCGGTTTGATAACTTCAAAGTTCTTCATCTTTCAACACTCTTGAGGTTCTCATGGGTTCTTAAAGTTCGACTCTTCGGAGCTTACTATCTCGTGAAGTATATCTTAGGGTTCTAAGGTATCTTGAAGAGCTATTTACTAGTCCCTTTCATTATCATTATCATCATCAACCTACATAGCATAGGTTCTTGAGACACAACCTCGTTATAGTTCCAACTCATAGCTCTCATAATATTGCTATGGGCAGTGTCTCAAGTTCTCTGGTAGTATATAGTTAGTGCCTCTCTAGTAGGTTGTAATATTGCTATAAGTAGTGTCTCAAATTCTCTAGTAGGATATAGTTAGTGCCTCTCTAGTAGGTTTCACAACGTCAATATCATTAAAGAGGGAGTGACCCTCATGTCTGTCAAAACTCATCTACCTATGTGGTCATTTGCCCTTATATGAGAAAGAAACAGACTTATGTATGGATGAAAATCCTCTAATTGCATCCACAAGGCATTCATATGGCTCAAGAAGATTCAAAAGAGCTCAACTATATTGGTACCAACTCATTATCATATTAGTACAATTACTTCCTATGATTAAATCTCTTTATAAGCCGTTTTTTTCGACATATTTTTTGTTAGATCAACCTAACGAATTCAAAAATAGGGTTATAATCTATCCCAACCCAACCTACATCTTTTTTTACGATCCAAGCCCAACCTACATATTTTGTTAGATCAACAATCCAAAAATAGGGTAGTAACAATAAAAAAACAGAGTTAGAACCCAACTCTACTTTTAAGATTATTATGAAAATCAAGAATATTTAACATATGTTACCACTAAAGATACCATATTGAATGTTTTATATTTGAGCTTAACGAGATTTTAGTTATAAATGTAAATGTATTGCGAATAAATTGAATTTTTTAATAATTAAAAATAAAAAAAAACGAGATTTTAGTTATTAATGTAAATGCATTGTAAATAAATTAAATTTTTTTAATAATTAAAATTAAAAAAAAAAAACAATACGACAACTCAACTCAATCTAAACATAAGCATAGAAGACGGGATTGGATTGTGAACCCCTCAAATCAATTTTTTTCCAAGGCTCCATATTTGTCATTTTAATTACATTGAAAAAAAAATAAAAAGGTAAGTCCACTTAAAACTGTTCAGAGATTTGAAATGAGTGAGTAAGTTGCATCACCTTTTATCATTACCCTCAAAAAACTCCTTAAAACTACAAAAACCACACTAATATGAATCCTTAAAACTATTTCTTTTTATTAAAATGTTTGAAGAGTTCAATAAACATTTTAAAAATGGCAAGAAAACCTTTAATTGAAGAACAAACTAAATGATTGTCGCCTATGAACATAGCATATCATCATATAATATTATTAAATGTGTTCTAATGTTTAAAATGTACAAGTTCAATTCAAGTGCAGAGTTTTCCTCCTTTTCAGAAGTTTGATACATAAACAACCCAATTTTATACAAAAATATGTTAGAAACTTTAGGAATATATATGATGAGATGTTTTGCCTACAAAAACTCCTAATACAAAGACTAGAAATTGAATAGACCGATTAGCGAAAGAGTCTAGGCACTGATTTCCTAGGAATCTTACCTTCAAGCTTTAGTCTTCTATACGCTTCTCGGAGATGGCATGGCCTGATAGCTCCAGAATCATTCCGCTCAGTCATAACTACTCTAGCTGAAATAAAATCGAAGTATTGAAATGAGTCGATCTCGCTTTGGAATAATGCAGATTCTTTTGCTTATACTTCACATTGCTGTTAAAAGTAACCGAACAGAGCACTAGTCCTACATGAACAATGGATTGGGTTTTCAAGAAGTTTATACATACCCGTTTCTACGAGTTCACCAACGAACATCTTTGCTATCCCAGACACTACGATCGTCATTGGTACAGAAATCTTCTGTGTTCCCGAGATGCTTGCTAATAGCTATGATTTACAAATGAATGGAAACAAGATGAACTGAATTCAGGTTCATAAAGATAAAATCATCTTAGATCCTGAGAGATTGAGGATGAGATGGATTAAAGTTTCCTGGGGTGGCGGATGAAGAATGCATTCCCACCCCCACCCTTTGTTACCACATCTATTGTCTTTTGCTATTGGAAAATATTAAGATTCATACCCTTTTCATATTAGCTTTCTGAAATCCAGCTCTGCGAAAGGACTCGTAACGACTCATCTGTTCTTCTGTAAATTGTGAGAGAATGGCTCTGGCAAAATGTTAAGACAGGTTACAACAAGATTCTTTCCAAAGTGAAGACTTCATAATTCTGTATATAAGGTTCATTCATAACAAAACCAAAAGAAGCTCTTGAGTAACAAAAATGATCTGACAAGAATCTTAAAATATACTATCATTTTCAACCTACTCTCTGGAGCAACCATAAACAAAAAAAAAACCATTTTTTTCCAATTTAAAAGCAGGACTTGCAATATAATGGATGATGAAGCCCAGAGGGTGTCATGTTTTAACTAGAGAAGAATTATAAACGTACAAGAGAAACTGGAAGAAACAAAAACATGATAGAAGCTTAAGAATTTGAAGTACACAATCTTAACTGTCATGAATACAGAACTGAGTTCCTACCACAAATTTAAATAAAAATTAAATATATTCCAGCACCATACAAGTAATGTACAACTAGGGCAGAAAAAATTGGTTTAACGATGAGATAAAAATTCATGATTCTCGGCTTGATGACAAATAGTAGTCTTTCTTTTCATCCCTTTGTTTAAAATTAGTCCCTTAATAGATAACTGCACTGAATATAATTTTATACAATTTAGCAATTCAAAAGAAAGACAGTGTTTTAAGAACCTTGAGGGGAAACCCAAAAAGAAAAGCCCAAAGAGGACAATATCTACTTGTGGTGAGGCCTAAACGCGTTTTATAACCTTGAGGGGAAGCCTAAAAGATAAAGCCCAAAGAGGACAATATCTGCTAGCGGTGAGGTTGGGCTGTTACATCTTCACCACTGCCAACGTGTGTAAGTTCCATTACATAGTAAAAGTCAAGGGAGGAGTTCGTTGAAAGTCATGAATGAAGAAGATACATATTGACTTCCTAGCGTCTTCAGCATAGTACACAGGGTTAGGGATGACTGACTAAGCCTTGGAGTTGGTGTAAGAACATAGTCCCAAGGTTTTTATCCAAAGTTTAGGTTTTCCATGTAAATCTTGAGTGCCATCTATAATCCTTGTTTATTTTTTCAGCACACATTCACTTAACTAATCAAGAGTAATTTTGAAATAACTTGTCTAGCATACAACTGGGTTCGGATGTAAGTCAATCTATAAACTTCAGTATGTGGATGCATCATCAGTGTTTTAAGGATCAAGTAATATCCAATTAGGAAGAACAAATAAGCTTATCTTAGAAGCGAACCTTTCGAATCTCTTGATTAAGAAAATCATCACAAGGCTATTACACTACTCTTATCGGGAACACCTGGAATTTGGAACAGCACGAAGCAACATGCAATGGCTGGGTCAGGTTCAAAGGGATTTTGTGAAGTTTTACAAATTATCAATATTCCAAAGGATACACTAAATCATGAACTAGTTCACACTCTATTCATATCAATCAACTGTCCTGACCAAAGGACTAGATGCTACAAACATTTCGAACATCATGACAAGCTGCGAAAGCACCTAACGAGTGCAGTTCCTATAAATTAGGTATCTAGTTTCTGCTAATGATCTATCTTATTCCACATAAGCCTAAGGGCCTTGATCCTCCAATTTGCAAGAACTTATGATTGATGCAGTCTATTGAAATAAAATTGCTTAAAAAGAAAATTCCTACTACACAAATTTTATCTTTTGGAATGCTTGATTTCATCAACCGATACTATGAGTGACGAGACACAAGGCCCCTTTCAAACAGATATGGCTCCATGTTTCTAAATGGCTTGAAGCCAGATTGAGGCTATTCCCAACTGTATGATGTTTCACCATCTTTGGCTCCAAACACTAGAGCTTAAACAATCTCAATTTCTTCTGATAGACTCTTAGATTCTATTTTTATTATGACATTTTTCCTTGATGTAAATGCTATCCCCTCAAAAAGTTAAAATCTTCATAGCCATTTGGCAAACTTGAAGGCTTTCTAAACCTTCCTTGATAGGATTTTCCTCTGTATCAGTTCGAGTTATCACCCTTTTACAAGATTTCATATCATCGATTAAATATAAGCTCAACAGAAACTTTTCACGAACACAAACAATGCATGAGAATTAACCTAAAAATTATAATAACCTTGTCAAATAAGTCGACAGAGGAAGTATTTTTTAGCATCAAAGTTGACGATAACATTGACACTAAGCTAGCGAAACTTGAAAGAGAGGAATGAAGTAAGAACAAAAGTTAAACCTAAATATTGAGAGTGACAAGAAAACATACTGCATCTTCGCCATCTTATCTGGATCGCCGCTCGAGGGGAATTTAGCGAGCTCCACTTCGACATTCTCTTCCTCTTCTTCATCGTCGTCTTCTTTGGTTTTAGGGGCGGCAGAGATATTGGAGGAAGACGAAACAAACAAAGAAGTAGTGGATGCAGAAGGAACACCGGAATTTGTGGCGGCGGCGGCGGCGGCGGTTTTTGGATCATCGTCACCATCGTGCAAATCAATAGCGTCGGCGTCGGCGGTGGCAGCAACGTTGGTCTGAATTTCGAGATCATCGGCAGCGGAGGGGGAGTTCGGTGGAGATTCCTCCTGCTCCTCAAACGCCGCTTCAAATGGGTCCTTCGATTGCTTCATTTTTTTTGTGGAAATACTCTCCGAATTGATCGCTTTTGTGCGATGAACTAACCTGATTTGGTGCCAATTTTGAAATGTTTCATGGAACAATTTCGACTATGTGATTTATAAGCTAGGAATTGGGGTTTGAATCCAATTTATATTTTAAAACGTTCGAGTAAACTAAGAGTCACTTAGCCCACTAATTTAGACCACTATCAATATCAAACCCTAAGTGTATGATATATCTCGAGATAGAATCTAGCTCGAATCTTGAGTAATTTTGTCCTCTATGTTGAACCGACCCCAACCCTAGCCTCGATAAATAAGGATCATAAAGGACTCTCCTGAGACAACTTTCGGGAGGTCAGTTCAAACTTGATTTATAATTGTGATCGATATACTTTCTAATTCAATCTATTCCTTCGTATTTCGTTTTTTTCTTTGCAATACCGAACTAAAGACGAAGGGGAAAGAAGCTCCAACGAACCCCAAGGATAAAGACTAAGGAAAAGTTGTCGAATAAATTTCCAGCTTCAATCTCTAACCTCGAAATGGGAGAGAGTCCTGCTTAAACTACAAAAAAAATTCCGACCTCAACCCTAATCTCAAAAAGATGAGAGAGTCCGGCTCAAACTACAACAAATTTCCGACCCCAACCCTAGTCTTGACAAATGAGCAAGAGTCATGCTCAAACTCAAACGAATTTGAAATTAAACATTATAAGGTCTCCATTAATAAAAATAATAACGAGGTATAAATCTTAATTCGACAGCTATTTATTTTAATTTTACACTTAAATCAAATTTGTCACTAAAATGTTTGCAAATTGGGCTAAAAAGATATGGGCTTAGCTTTTCCCATATTCGGCCCAGCCCATTTTAAAAAGCCCAAAATGAGGCGAAGAAATGGCTAAACGGAAAAACGGAAAAAATCAGAAGCTCAGTAACACACCGACCCATGGACAAGAGAAGCAGGGACGAGAAGATGAGTGGAGCTGCAACTGCTCCGCCCCAAGGGAGACCGTCTGCGCGGCCACTTCCTCCGCCGTCTCAGGCCAAAGCCCCGCCGCCGCCTCCTCGCGCTCGTTTCGAACCCGTCGACCGCGAAAAGGTTTCTCTTAGGGCTTGCTTCTTCCTCTCGTTTTTTTTTTTCTTTTCTTCACACCGCTGAGATAAGTTCACGGTTTTTTGAATCTTTGTTTGTTATTCAAATGAAACTTATCTGCTTTTCGTTTTGTTGCAATTTTCGCTTCCTTCCGTGATGGTGATTTCAAGACTTGCCCTTTGCTGCTTCGCGTTTTTACTAAGGTGCGTTTGAATTCTTTGAGAAGCCTTCTTGTTCGATTTATCTTTGTTCTTTTAAAATTTGAGATGATTGTGATATGTGTCATGGCGGAAAATGTCCTGTTTTCGGTTCTTGGTATCTGTTTGACATTGTCGACCTGCTACCTTTTATGATACTTCTGAGTTTATTAGCGATTGTGCATTTCTTATACTTCGTTCCATGATTTTTGTTGTGTGAAGATTATGTTGAAGGGTCCTTTTTCCACATGATTTTTTTTCTTGATTGGTGCACTTGGGAGGAGTAATGAGAAAACTTCACTTTGATATTAGAATTGGCGTGGGGTTCAGTTCATATATTCACATCTTACTGCAGACGGTATACAGGATATGCTTCATTTACATTTTTGCAGGTTGGAAGTCACCACACCGATGAGGATTTTGCAATTAGAGGTAAGGAACCCAAAGATGAGGTTCAGATTTATACATGGAAAGATGCAACACTCCGGGAGCTAACCGATCTAGTATGCAGAAAACCTACACTGTTCTGTTTCTTTTCTATCGTTTCTCCATCTGTTCTTGCTGCTTCTGTTCTGTATTTGATAAATGGCCGTCTGCTTTCAGGTTAAGGAGGTTGCTCCAGAGGCAAGAAGAAGGAATGCCAAACTTTCTTTTGCCTTTGTTTATCCCGACAAGCGTGGTCGATTTGTTTTAAAACCGGTGAGTGATCGTTAACAAAAATGTCACCTGCAGACTTCAAATTTTACCTAATCATTTATCTCATATACAATTGTACTAAATGTTTAGCTGTTCACTTCCTAAATGCACTACTTGTATAGATAAATTGTTGTGATTTCTTAATATGAAGACGTTTTGATCATTCTTAAGGTGGGAACAACACATTCTTATGGAAATGGCAGGAGATTAGATGGCAGCAAGGCATTGGGTGAACTGGATTTCCAGGTAAAAGTTAACATTAGGGCTCTTGAATTGAGTTTCTTGCAAGTTCTGAGGAAACTGATGTTTCTTCTGCTATGTTTTTGAATTTGAAAAATGTAGATTGGAGATTATTTGGACGTGGCAATCATGTAGAAATCTGGGTTACATGGAAGTGATGATGCTACTATTTAGTTGGAGAGTGAGTGTTATCAAATGTTTTCTGCATTTTTTAATTTCTATATTCAAATGTCTTGTGAAGGTAGAAGAACATATTGTATTGATGGTGACTTTGATTCTGTCATCTGGTTCTAGTTTGAATCCCATTATTTAATAACCTCTTCTTATATTTCCCCAAATATGTGCTTTTAGATCTCTATGTTTTACAGAAACTTTATTTCACAAGAGAAATACTTTACCTTTCTCTTAAACAGAAGTTAAAGATTTAGTTTTGGAACTTTCGACTTGGTTTCTGATTTTACATACATTAATTATATTTTATTGGTGAAACTTCATCACACCCTTCTCTAGGTATAGTGTGTACATGATGAGTATTCACAAATTTGTACATCAAGATACAATGTTGCACAACTGCTAAAAAATTCTCTCTACAAGGCAGGGTTTTAAGCATCATAATATCCTTCATATTCAACCATGGAGAATTCTTGTAGCTTCCATATGATGATCCCTTCAGTCTTGTTTCTCCTGGAATTACAGCTTACAAATCCTAGATGTGTCGGTAGATAGTAATAGTTAGTAGCATGAGAAGTCTTTGCCTTGAAGTTCTCTAATGGAATGTAGATGAGATAATATTTGGTTACCAAATGGGATGATATTGGCACATAGAAATTAGAGAATGATATGTAATGTAGATGCATGTTAGAAGACAATAATTTCTCTAGGGGATTAAAGATGATCACAAAGTGTACCTCTAACTTAGGCGTTGCTTCCTTCTGGTAATGTGATCAAGCGGGTTTTTGAGTCGTACACCAGCTCAGTTGAACAGCTGAAGAATATATATAGTTTTTACAGTGAATAATTATATGATAAACCATTGAAAAACGAAGCATATATGCAAGATGTTAAGAATGGTAGCAATTTAATGAGCTTCATACTTCGAGCACTTGAGGTTGTTTGTTTTGCCACCGCTTGAAACTGACAATATGGTGCCAAAGAAGGAGACATTCTCAGTTCCACAGTTTGGACAAGGGCCCTATAAAAAGATTTTGTACAGTCAAGGTAGCTTCATAATGTCATTTCAAGCAGGTCATACAAGGTTTATATTGTCAAAAATGGGTAACAATGAAATCTACGCTACCTTCAAGATCAAAGAGTCTCTAACAACTGCATTTGTAAGGGTAAGAGCTAACCAAACTAGGAATGGCACAGCAGCAAACCAAGTGAAGATGAAACTGAATGGCTCTGGGAGCTGCATTCAACGCAGTATGAACAAATTTCAAGTAATGATTATCAGGGAAAGTTTAGAATTAGACAAATACTGAAAAGTTTGAAGCAAGATATCGGCTAGCTTATTCTTTAGCTATAGAACTACTCTTGCAAAAGAATTGACCAACAATGCATATACCAAAGAACGGAGAAAGATCATTATAATCATGGCCGTAGCTTGCTTAAAAAGAGTTTAGTTCCTTGTGTGACAAGAATTATGCAGTTTAGGAGATGCTGCAGAATTCTTTTATCTTCAATACTTGGTCATGAAAAAGTAGAGGAAAAGGATGAAAATTTTACCTCCAACAAGTATGTAATTTCAAATCCAGTGATATCATCCAGGAAGAAGAACCTAAAAGTAACCATAAACAAATGAATGTCTACGTTTTAAACACGAAAATGCAAACAAAGAAGGGCCGAAGCACGACCAAAATTACAATATCAAAAGTAAACTTAACATGATTCGATAGCAATTTGAACTATATGCCTATATTTTCTTTGTTGTTTAATCTTTAAAACGTAGATTAGAATTTACTTTTTTGAAGAAAAGTAAAAACAAAAATGTTATGATACCATTCACTGGTTAAATGGTTCTTGTAAATTGAAATAGATAGTTTCAAACTTACAGTCCCAGTGCAACTACAGTGGCTGGAACATTCAAGAGGAGCATCCTAAAGTAGTCCACAGAGAGATCACTATAAACCTGTAAGAAGAAAGGTAATCAGTACAAGTTCATACAAAGCCATTATAGATCTTCAAAATTCTAAATACAGGTTCATACTTTTGCAACTCAAGGAGAAATATGTTTTGCTCTGATATACGGTAATCAATGCAGTTACTTCACAATCAAATATGTAAACAATGACCATTGGATTACATACTTTCTTAGTGTATTTCTTCACATACTTTTAATAAATCTTAAAATTAGTTCTTATCGCTAGTTTGAAGTTAATTTTTATAAAAAAAAATTGGCTGAAGTAGTTTTCGTGCAAGAAAAAACATCATGTATATATGATCCAGAAAGTTAACAATAAACTAACCGCAAAGATAAAGATTTATTGAAAGCAAATGAACTATATTTAAACTTTAAACTTTAGAGAGTACATTGGCCAAAATGGTAATGTACTGATGTTATTTCCACAAATATTTTGGAAGAAATATGGATTAAGTACTTCTTTTTAAACCATTAATAGCTTTTAATCGTTTCAAGAAATCCAAAAGTACTGTAGATCAAGCATCCAAATACACATACCTTTCATTATCCAAAACTCACCCTAATTATAAAATGGGCTGAAACCATATTAGACAATTACACATACCTTTCGACTTCGGAGACTGCAACGGGGGCCCTCAGCCACAATTTCACTCCCTTCCATCTGAAAGTACAATAATTTCAAGTATATCACACGACTTTATTAGTTCCGTATTATGCTTTACTAGTAGGAATAGTAGTCACCACAGCAAAAAGCATTAATACTAATTTGTTG